AGAGAAAGAGAGAAAGAGAGATAGAGAGAGAGAGAGAGGGAGAGAGAAAGAGAGAAAGAGAGAACGAAAAAGAAATGCTTTTCCACCCTTCGGCCTATTCCTCTGTATGAACAGGCTAATATGTCCCTATTGCCAAGTTGCCTTTCTTGTTTGGCCGAAAGAAAGAAACACAAAAACACACACGTTTTGGGAAACCAAGGCGTTCGCAAGTTCCGAGAACATACAGAGGCAGTAAATTATCTGGCACAGCTTTTACCGCCACACCCAGTAGCATTGAAGCCATTCAGAAATGCTACTACAACCTATTGGCCAGTCTGTCCTCCTACAATTGAGCCATAGCTGGCAAAACGGTGTGTTTCCGACTAGAGTGGCATACCAACCGCATAAGCCCTTATCAAGGTGTTCAACCATTCAAAACGACATGTGGCTTGCGTCGCTTTCATCAAATTCCTCAATCGGAGGACGCTCTCCTGCAAGCAAAAATGATTTCTGTCACGCTGAGTCAACAGATCAAACCCATGGCGTTACACTTGCTGGTTCCGGCTCGTGTATATCCCTTATTTTTTCTCATACCTCCTTCTTTCTTCTCTTGGTCTTCTCTCCCGCTTGTGCAGTCAATTTTGTGGAGTTTGCTGTTGCAAATACAGGGCAGCGCTCTGGATATGTTCCATGTTTGTGCTAATGTTTGTACAGTAACAATCAACGTTTCGAGCTCCCTCTGAATGGATTTAAGGTTCTTCACCAAGAGTTATGTGTGTGTGTGTCAAGGGCTTGCCCTGGACAAGGAGGAACATAATTATATACACAGATTTATCTATTGCGAAAGCCAAAAGGTAGGGAAGGTGCAACTTTACCACGACTCGGCTGCAATGAAGACAGCATGGAATCTCCTCGATTCTCTGCAATCGGATCGTCGTCAAGAACCACAACTCGTTGGTTGTGCTTCGACATGTTCTCCAGCCTCAGCCAACTGGGCTTGCTTAACCTCTTGGCAAGGAACAAATTCAGTGTGATGTCTCTGACAAACTTTTTGGGATGTGCGCCCACCTGGAGTCTCAAGAATCCCGCACCAGCGCCTATTCCTGAAGGGTTGCTCACTGCACTCGCTTGCAAACCAATTGGCATTACAGGGCGATGTGCATCGATGACAAAGCACTTCACATGGTCTCCTACCTGATCGTCACAGAGCATTGGTCTGCAACACGAGGATATGCTAAAAGGAGAGGGTAACTCTGAGGGAAAACACAATAGATCACTTTGTGGTCTGGCGTCTAGCCAGCTACTTTCAGCCTGTACTGGTGCAGTAGATTCCGGGCCGTTGATCCATACATATATACTGACCTTTCCAAACACACAAATCCTTGCCAAACACGCATCACAATGTGTGAATTAACCATGAACCGAAACAGAAAATGTAGAAAAGCCACCCATGACTACAACACATCTCCCTCTAAGTGTTCTACACGTGTCCGTCTTTCGCTTTGAGGAGCTGTTCTCTCCTCCCGCCTGCTGCAGGTGCTTCTGGAGATCTACACTGGCTCCACAGTTCAGCAAAACAACCGACTGCACCTGGAGCGAATGTGGTCAACGCGCGATGCAGAGTCGATGTGAAATATGTGCAGTCAACTTTGTGAAGTTTGCGCAATGTTGGCACTGTGCAGGACAGCACGACAAAAACAGGAAATTCTCCAGGGAGGTCCATGATGAACCTGTAAACGCTAGTCATCGTTTCAATTGTTGTTGTCATCGTTGTAGTGAGCCTCAGAATCCTCTTTGAGCTTCTGGAAGTGCTCTATGATGTCAGCATTTCCCATCACAGGAAAGATCAGAAACTTCACCTCAGCTTCAGCACGAGGAGTGGTGTAGAAAGCTCGAAGAACTACTGGTGCACTTGCCTTCGTCGCCTTTTTTGGCTTCCTTTCCTCATCCACGTTGTACAAGTGTTGGAAAACTGGATTGGATTGATTATGCATACAATATGTACGTATAGATATATATATATATACTTATATGCGCATCATGTGGATATATTCTTTTCTGTAAACATATTCTCATTCACATTATAATATATCCAATGACAGAAATGCTACTGGCATATCGCACAATCGCTGTGAAATGCGCAGATGTTTCTGTTCCGGGTGTCGCATGCAGAGCCAAGGGGACTGATAGCAATGATATTTTGGGGGCAAAATAGAGGTGTCGGTTTGGCATGCCATTTACATACCATTATTTACCTACTGGTTGTTCAATGATGGTTACCCCTCCATAATTCAACCAACCAGTGAGAAAGGGCACCTACGACTCGCAATGTCCTTACATGACTCTTACAAACCGGCAAACTTGACAAAATGGTGTGGCTCTCAGAAATGCCCTAGCCAGCTGTCCACAAGTGTGAAATCCTCTGCTGCTGTCATCGATGATGGTGAAGCTTTTGCTGATGGACAGTCTGTACGTACACGATGATTTCATGTCAAATTCAGCTCTTGTTTGACCTATGTCTGTTCTCTACAGGAAAATGTTTCCAGGTTTATGACACAATGTAAAATTGATAGCACCACATCTCCTTCGCTAAGTTGGACATGACCGAATGCAAAACACAACATAATGATGTTCGATGTGAATAAGCATGATAGGATTATACTAGGTATTGTGTGGTACTTTGATGTGAAGCATCATGATCCACGCTTACTTGCAGACCAAATGATTGTATCTTTTTCAGCATAGAAACCGTCAAATGCGGCACCTCCCTGATGTTCTTTTCGGCTCCTTTGCGTATACGTGCCCTGTTTCTCGCGAAGAATTGCTGGTATTCTGCGGTTGTGGAGAAGTAGAGTCTGCGACTTGGGAATGAATTGAAGTTCATTGCTTCAAGGTGTTCATCGTTGTTCTTTGACAAACCGTTGCAGAAAACTTCTACAGCAAGGCTTCTGTTTGTCCGAGCCGTGCAGATCATCTGATTGTGGCGAGGGACAGTTAAAGCTGCAAGTATGGAATGAAAAAAAACCTAAGCAGCCAAAGTGTATATCATATCTACAGCTTGGTCTGCCAGATCGTCGAGCAATAAATCCAAATCAAGTGCTTGTGGGTCATTAAACCACCAACCTGTGATTGTCCGAAAACCAGCATGCAATTGGTGGCACTCGGAATCAGGATGGTGTTCATCCAATTCCCTTGTTTGCTGCCCTGCGAGGATGCAAAGGTATTACTGTAGATTGAACTAAAAATGATTGAATTTCTTTGAAAGGTGTTGAGGTTCTGTTCCAAACCTTTCCTTCCTCTGCGTCTTGCAGCCTTTACATTTCCACATGTTGTTGCCAGAGTTGAGGTCACTGCCCATGCTCAGCGAGCTTGGAGTTTCCGTTTCCTGAATCTCTTTGACTTTTTCAGGACTGTGTTGAGGTTGAGTGTGAGAATCGCTTGTTGCTTTCACGCGATTTAGAAGCACTTGCTAAGAGATCAATTTCAACCTACAGTTCGCCGCATTGGTTTTCCCGTTTCCCTCGCTTCTTGGCCTACGAGTACCTCAGTTGCTTTGACAATGCTTATGGAAAGCTCCTGCAGTATTCAGTCGACCATGACTTTAGACACAATCGCGTGGGGATTTGACGTGGGTCTGCATAACTCCAACAATTCCAACATCTTGTTCTTTAATCCAAAACACTGGTTCGCGAGTGGCCCTTCCAGAGATAGCGGACAGTATTCTTTTCACAAACCTTCAGTGGGTGAGAATGAAAGGTTCAAGTTTAAGCTTAACTCAGTCACAGCATTGGTGTTCAGCATCTTGGAGAGCATCTTGGCTGCGCAAACTCCATCATGGTCTGCAGCAGCTAGAATGCGGACCTCTGCAAGCTGGTTTGAGTGAGAGAGAGAGAGAGAGATATGATCCGCATGCTAAAAACATGGTCCATGATGGTCGTCTGTTTGTCACCTGCCATGGGTAATTGGTTCACATGCGAGCCCTGTTGGGTTTCAAGAGTAAAAGGATGTGAAAACACTTGGGAGTTGGGCTTTGCTGTCCTGGTCTTCGATTGGGAGCCGCTTTGGGCATCATTCAGAACTACATGCTATGCAAAAGTGCAAAAGTGAAAGGAGCAAAGTGGAAACCCTGCAGTGGTGGGTTTTGCTGTGTTTGGTGCCCCTACTTAATCCACTCAAACGATTGCGAATTGCAAGAACAAACTAGTAGACTTCGTGTGGTCAAGAATCTTTCTGAATGTCCTCTGCCCAGTGTTCCTATGCAGAAGGAACATAAAGGACACCAAAGTACTCTATGAACAGTTTTTATCCAATCAAGGACACCTTCTAACCCTTGTAAGCCATAATGGTTCAACATGCTGCTTTCGTGGAGGACATAGGGGTTGCGAATTGAGACTCAGAACTAAAGATTGGCGTCATGTTTGGGTCCGCCATGGACTCAAATTGCCAACAAGGACTGTTGATACACTGTGGCAGACTTGTTTATGTAATATAATCCGTTGTCAGTCGAGTCAAGCTGCAGTTACGTCAACGGTGATCCTTGATCCTTGACGCAAATGCTCCAGCATCTCCAGAAGAGCACGGCCATTATCTTGCCGGACGTTCCTGTGAAGCCCAATTCCGATTTGGGTCCCTCTGGACAACATGCATGAAAATCGAGACCATCCAGAACTCACTGTCAACCATGCGTCACCTTGTATTCTGAGTCCTGTTACCGTAATGTCGTGTTCCTTTGCTATGGAAGATCAAAAAGAGCGGGAGAGTGATTGCAAAGAAAATTGATTCCTCAGAGCGAATACTGCAGTGGGGGATTCCGGTCTGTCTAGTGAAGGTCTGGCCACTTGCTCCTCTTCAAATATGTAAACCTGTCAAAGAGTATCGATGAATGGAGGAGGGACCTTCGCAAGATGGAAACAATTCTCTGTATACAGTGATTCTAATAATCAAACTATATAGTCCAACTGGAAACCACCATGCCCATTCCATCACGACCGACAGCCTCACAACCATGCAGCCTCACTTTGACCTTAGATGCAATAAAGGGAGATTGCTTGGACCCCAAAGCCAAAAGAGATTTTAAAATCTGCCCGAAAGTAGTTTCTGAACGTTCATTTTTTCACGCAGAGTTTATATATATATAATTAGGGCAAATCTCTGCTCCACTTTCCAACCACCATGTTTTTTCTCAAGAGCATTTGAGAAGGCTCTTCCCACCAAAACGGCCAACTTGCACAAGAAAGACAAATAGGACATAGATCACAGTGAAATGGTTCAGATATTGACACGTAGAACTTTAGCATGTCACAAAGATTCGAGGCATACACCACTCTCTGCCTGAAGAACGCCAGGTGCAGCAAAAAACGAACGTGTGAACGAACGTGTATAAAAGTCGGGACAAGTCTTGAAAGCACAAGGCTGGAAATGTTGCAAATAAGCCACAGTTAACAGCACCACTCCGAACTGGGCGTCAAGCCCCCAGCTCACTGTTTGGACAACTTTGGCGCTTGGGCTTTGGGCCAAAAACCAGCTTGGAACGTTGGAATCTGGTAAGGATGCAAAGCATGTCAATGGGCAAATGCTTTTGTCTGCGCTGTCTCTCCATGCTCGAAGATACAGAAAAACAACATGAACAATCCTACAGAATCTAGCTCTTGCACGAGTTCCTGCTTCCTCGACTCCTGTCTTTATGCCTTTTCAGACATGAATGTTGTCTTTGATAGAACGGCGTCTATGGGCCTGTTGAAACCAAACATGCATACCAAAGACCCGAAAAGCAATCTATAGCAATTTCATACTGTTCATAAATATTCATTAATCATGTTGCCAAAGAGGTGAAGACACTGTGAAAACACAGAAATGACATGACGTTTCCCAATCCCCCTTGTGAGGTGCATGGGCTGAGTTGGCAGCTCTTGCTCACAAAGATCCGCCTGGATTCATCATCCAGGGCACAAGGCTGAGAACTCTATGAAAGCACCGAAAATTGGCAATTTTCTAAGCCATGATATTGCGAAAATAGTGCACACCTTGACAAACATGATCAGGAAGAATATACTATTACTACAGTAACATCTGTGACACGTGTCAAATACATTTTGAACAATGCCGAAGTTGCCTGAAACTGAGAGCTATCGAAAAGTTTGGACTTCTCAATGTTTCTGTCCGCTCGAGTTTGTGAGAAGGAGGTAGCTGAGGGCCTCCCTCTGTATCTGTGAGCCCTTTTGCATTTTCTTGCACGCGTTACCATACCCCTGACCAACAGTATCTTCTGCGGCCAAGCTCGACCAGACGTGCATAGCAAAACACCATAAAACCCCATAACACACAAACGTCTGTGACAGAAAAGTTGAACCAATCTGGCAGCGAAATGTTTTTTCACACAACTGCGCAGCGCTTGTACAGGGCAGCCCGAGCTAAGAAGAACTCCTCACTAGGCATTCCTTCCAGGCGCAGCGGCGCTGCACCTGGACACAATTCTGTGATTGTTCGGGTGGCTGATGCACAAAAAATATGATCTATAATAATCATTAATAATCTATAATCGAAGGAAGTTTAGAAGTCAAACTTCCGACAAGATGGAGAGATGAAAATCAGAGATGGGAAGAGTCAGAGAAGAGAAGAGAAGAGAAGAGAAGAAAGAAGATCAAAAAGAGAAATTCAAAGAAAGAAGATCCAGGTGCGCGAAAAGGTAGGAAAGTCGCGAAACACTGTGTTTTTCGAATGATTTGTGGCTCCGGAGGGTTGAAAAGCAGGCTCGCTAAAGCGGCGGGTGCGGAGCCAGCTGGCCAGATGAGAGATGAAAAATTGCACGCCGTTGTGGCGCGAAGCACATGTCTAATCATTTCTACAGTAAGTCAAAATGTATAAAACATACCAGGTTCGGACCACTTTTGGAAGTTGAGATGTGGGAAAAGTGCACACCGTTGTGGCGCGAAGCACATGTCGAAATCAAAATCTACTAAGCACACCATTCTCGGAGCACTTTTGGAAGTTGAAATGTCGAAAAAGTGCACGCCGTTGTGGCGCGAAGCACATTTCCAAGTCAAAATGTACAAAGCACACCGTGCTCGGACTACAACTAACACTACAACTACAGCTACGGCTACAACTAGAACTACACTACATTACACTACACTAAATTACACTACACTAATTACACTAATTACATTACACTGACACTACACTACACTCCACTACACTACACTCCACTCCACTACACTACACTCCACTACACTACACTACACTGAATTGCTAATTACACTACGCCACGCTATGGTACACTACACTACACTACGCTAAAAAACTACAACTACAGGTACAACTAAAACTATGTTACTTTACACTTCACTACACTAGGCTACACTACACTACACTAGCTTCCATTACATTACACTACACTCATTACACCACCACAAATGCAACTGCAACGGCACTACACTAATTACACTACACCACAACTACAGCTCCACTACAAGTACAACTACAGCTGCACTACACCACGCTACATCCAGCAGTTGCGGGTGAGGTGACCAACCGGGTGACCACTGCATCGTAACCACCCAAAAAAAAAACACTCCAACCACCTTTCAGTCCATCAGTGGATTCGCTCTGCCATCCGTGATTCACAACAACCAAGCTCTCCTAAAGGTTTCCTTTTATTGAAACTTCCGCCACCACCTTGTGCGGTACTACTGGCAGATAGGACACTGTAGGAGAGGTGAGTTGTTGTGATGCATGGATGGCAGAGCGAATCCACTGATGGACCGAAAGGTGTTTTTTTGGGAGTGGTTGCAATGGTTGCAGTGGTCACCTCACCCACAACTGCTGGATGTAGTGTGGCGTAGTGCAGTTGTAGGTGTAGTTGTAGTGTAGTGGGGTTGTAGTTGTAGTGTAGTGTATTTAGTGTAGTGTAGTTGTAGTTGCAATTGTAGCTGTGGCAAGGTTTGTATAATTAGTCTAACGTAATGTACTGTAGAGTAGTGCACTGTAGTGTAGTATAGCGTAGTGTCACTGTAGTCTAGCGTAGTGTAATGTGAGGTAGTGTAGTTATAGTTCTAGCTGTAGCTGTAGTGTAGTGTAATGTAAATAGTGCAGTGCAGTGTAATGTAGTGTTGTTGTTGTTGGTGTTGTTGTTGTTGTCGTTGTTGTTGTCGGTGTAGTTGTAGTTGTAGTTGTGGTTGTAGTTGTAGTTGTAGTTGTAGTTGTATGCGTAGGGTAGTGTTGTGTAGTTGTAGTGTAATTAGTGCAGTGTAGTGTAGTGAATAGCGAATAGTGAATATTGTAGTGAATAGTGTAGTGAATAGTGTAGTGAATAGTGTAGTGAATAGTGTAGTGAATAGTGCAGTGAATAGTGTAGTGAATACTGTAGTGAATACTGTAGTGAATACTGTAGTGAATACTGCAGTGAGTAGTGTACTGAGTAGTGTGTACTGAGTAGTGTGTACTGAGTAGTGTAGTCTGAGTAGTGTAGTGAGTAGTGTAGTGAGTAGTGTAGTGAGTAGCGTAATGAGTAGTGTAGTGAGTAGTGTAGTGAGTAGTGTAGTGAGTAGTGCAGTGAGTAGTGTAGTGAGCATTTCAGTGTGTAGTGTGTAGTGTGTACTGAGTAGTGTGTACCGAGTAGTGTGTACTGAGTAGTGTGTACTAAGTAGTGTGTACTGAGTGGTGTGTACTCAGTAGTGTATGCTGAGTAGTGTAGTAAGTAGTGTAGTGGGTAGAGTAGTGAGTAGCATAGTGAGTAGTGCAGTGAGTAGTGTAGTGAGCAGTGTAGTGAGTAGTGTGATGAGCAGTGTAGTGAATAGTGTAGTGAATAGTGTAGTGAGTAGTGTAGTTAGTAGCGTAGCGTAGTGAGTAGTGTAGTGTAGTGAGCAGTGTAGTGAGTAGTGTAGTGAGCAAGGTAGTGAGTAGTGTAGTGTAGTGAGTTGTGTAGTGTAGCGTATTGTAGTGTAGCGTAGTGCAGCGTACCGTAGTGTAGTGTGCAGTGTGTAGTGTGTTGTGTGAAGTGTGTAGCTTGTTGTGAAATGTAGTGTGTAGTGTGTAGTGTTTAGTGTACAGTGTGTAGTGTGTGGTGTGTGGTGTGTGGTGTTTAGGGCGTAGTGCGTAGTGCGTAGTGTACAGTGTGTAGTGCGTAGTGCGTGGTGAGTAGCGAGTAGTGAGTAGTGTAGTGAGTAGTGTATTGAGTAGTGTAGTGAGTAGTGTATTGAGTAGTGTAGTGGGTAGTGAGTAGTGAGTAGTGTAGTGAGTAGTGTAGCGAGTAGTGTAGTGTATTGTTTATTGTATTGAGTAGTGTAGTGAGTAGTGTAGTGCGTAGTGGTGAGTAGTGGTGAGTAGTGTAGTGATTAGCGTAGTGTGTTTTGAGTAGTGTAGTGAGCAGCGTAGTGAGTAGTGTAGTGAGGTATGTAGTGAGTAGTGTAGTGTTGTGTTGTTGTGGCGGCTCACAGCAGTAGCCGCAGCCCGGGAACACACCTCCACGGGCAGATCGACAGACAAGCTCCGATAAACAAACCAAACGTTATTGCAAGCCCTCCCTGCCAGCTTTTGGTGGCCCAAACTAGTAACTAAAAGGGACCGAAGCAGATATCAAACAAAAAACAAAGCAAAAGGTGAACCCCAAGAGCATACCAGCCTGTATCCCGGCATAGCACCAGCTGTGCACGCAGGAAACCAGGCGCCCTTCATCGGAGACCCGACTGGCAATGGCATCATACCCCAGTAAAATACCAGTGACTGACCCGAAGCACAACACCCGAACTCAGCGTACCATTCCCAGCAATCCCCTGCCCGACAGAATCTCATTGTACATCAAAGCAGTGACCGAGAATATCCTTACAAACGCAATGGCCACCCCAACGGCCCACGCGTGTTCAAGGACTGCATATCGGCCCAGGTCCTGGCTACGTATTGGGCTATTAGGAGCACCATGCGAGACAGCTAAGAAACCAGAGTCCCAGAGGCCGGGTATAGCCTGCATTCCCGCGGATCCGTGTTACCGACAAATTGGCTATATCAGCACCTAACGTTTTTAAGAGGACAGGATAGTTGCCAACCGACGGCCCCATAGGTATCGATCCCGACCCACGCCACTGCACTGAACAGCTGCGACCCTAGTAACCTGAGACCCTTTCCAACTACCTGTGATGCCACACACCCACCAGAAAAAGAAGGGACAGGAAATCCATGGCCGCGAACAGCCCCAAGCAAAAACCCCAGCCAGCAGGCAGAAGCTGGCGTAACACGGGCAAGCAGATGCCCAACACCACGTGGACGCAGCGAGCCGAAGCCGCACGGGGCGAGCCGAAGCCCCAACGCAGAAAAAACACACAACAGAACAGGACAAAACACAGAGGCCGAGCCGAAGCCCCAACACAGAGAAGTCACACAACAGAACAAGGCAAAACACACGGGGCGAGCCGAAGCCCCAACCCAGGGAAATCACACAAGGAACAGGACAAACGCATGGGGCGAGCTGAAGCCCCAACCCAGGGATCACACACAGAACAGGACAAAATACACAGGGCGAGCCGAAGCCCCAACACAGGAGAGGGCAGCAGAGAACCCAAAATACTAACCACACGGAACCACAAAAACCACCCAACCAGAAGGGGAGAAGAAGAAAGGAAAACAAAAGCAACGCAAAGGAAAGAAAAAGATAAAAACAACAAGGAAGGCAAAGGAAAGCATGGGAACAAAGAAGGGAGAGAAGAAGAGAAGACGCGCGGACCGGCCGGCCCAGGGAAAAAGCGAAAATGAAAGCATGGTTGCATGGGCCAATCACAGAAACAGGTACGGGTAAACCAAGAAATATCAACGGCAACTTGCAAGCAGGACCAAGCCAGAGCCCCAATAGCGGCAGGCACAGCAACATCAGCAACCCAGTTAGAGAAAGAGGGCACTGTCACACTTACGCCGACTTCGCGGAGGAGGGAAAGGAGGTGCTCATCGGGAGCCAACCCTTAGTGCCGTCCCCGGGGTCCTCCTAACCCAAACCCCCCCAAGTCCAATGGCGCAAGTCCCGGGGGAGTGTAGTGTCGTGTCGTGTCGTGTAGTGTAGGTGTAGGTGTACGTGCAGGTGCAGGTGCCGGTGCAGTAGTAGTAGTAGTAGTAGTAGTAGTAGTTGTTGTTGTTGTTGTTGTTGTTGTTCTTGTTCTTGTTCTTGTTCTTGTTCTTGTTCTTGTTTTTGGTCTTGTTCTTGTTCTTGTTCTTGTTCCTGTTCCTGTTCCTGTTCTTGTTCTTGTTCTTGTTCTTGTTCTTGTTCTTGTTGTTGTTGTTGTTTTGTGTAGCGCAGTGCAGTGCAGTGTACTGTAGTGTAATCAGTGTATTGTAGCGTTGCATTTTTGAATTTGCATGTGCAATTGTAGTTGTAGTGGTAGCGTTGTGTAGTTGAAGTTGTAGTTGTCTGTCTGTCTATCTATCTATCTATCTATCTATTTATCTATCTATCTATCTATCTATGGATGGTTCTATCTATCTATCCATCCATCTATCTACCTACCTATCTTTCTTTCTTTGTTTCTTTCTATCTTTCTATCTTTCTATCTTTCTATTCTTATTCATCTCTCTGTCCATCTGCAAGGCTATTCTGCGAGACTTCCTCAATTTTCGAACTTGAAACCATCAAAAACGCAGCAATTCTGCGAGACTTCCTCAGCTCTTGAACTTGACAACGTCAAAAACGAAACAATTCTGCGAGACTTCCTCAATTTTCGAAGTTGCCAACATCAAAAACAAGCAATTCTGTCAGACCTTAGACTCTATCAGACCTTCTTCAATAATGGAAAGTTGAGTGCAGAGCTGACGGCATTTCCAGTCCATGTGTCTAAAGTACTGCTCCTGCCACGAAAAATTGAGGCCAGATCATACGAAATGCTGCACCTGTCACGCAAAATTATTAGCAAACCTGAAGATCCGCAACCCCGCGCAAGAAATCTGCACCTTGATCTCCTAACAGCTCTGATGCACATGTCTCTTGTACTGCGCCTGCCACGGAAAATGCATTTTCGCAGATCCTCTTCGAATGTCCCACGGCTGCCATTTTGGACATGCTACAAAACGCTGACGTTTTTCCTCACTTTTGACCAGGTGCAGAATCCCTTGCGCCTGCCACGCAAAACGACATCTGAACGTCCAAAAGTGGGGCGAACTGACTTCGGAACGTGCTTCGCGCCACAACGCCGTGCGCATTTTCAACATCTCAACTTCCAGAAGTGCTCTGAACCCATCAGTTTTTAACACTTTTCACTTCGAAATGTGCTTCGGGCCACAACGGCGTGCACTTTTTCGACATCTCCACTTCCAAAAGTGGTCCGATGTTGGTGTGTTTTGTACATGTTGACTTCGAAATATGCTTCGCGCCACAATGGCATGCAATTTGTGTTCTCTCATCTGGCCAGATGGCTCCGCACCCGCCGCTTTAGCGAGCCTACTTTTCGACCCTCCGGAGCCACAAATCATTGGAAAAACACAGTGAATCACGACTTTTCTACCTTTTCCCGCACCTGCATCTTCTTTCTTCTGACTCTTTCTCTTCTCTGATCTTCTCTCTTCTTCTCTTCTCTTCTCTGACTCTTCCCACCTCTGCTTTTCCATCTGTCCATAATATTGTCGGAAGTTTGACTTCTAAACTTCCTTCGATGATGTAAAGGTTTGAACATCAAAACAATAGTGTGATGATTGTAACCTAATCAAGACATTATGTGCATACCACTCTAGACTTGGCAAAGCATTGTAGACGCTCCACAACTCGAACTGCACTTCAGAATCCTGAGGGTAACACTATGAGCACCAGGACACCCATGGCAATGTCACAACCGATGCACAACAGGTTTGGGATTTTGAACGCTGCCAGTTAACCATCATTGGAGTTGAGAAGAGTTGATTTTCATGGGATTCCCCAAGTTCACTCAACTAGAAGCAACATGACTCAGCTAAATATATATATATATACACAGAGAGAGATAGAGAGAGAGAGAGAGAGAGCCAGTTCCAGCTCTGGATTGCAGCTAGAATCACGTGTGGTGGCGGTTCTTGTCAGTAGTTCTTTAAGCAGCTGGCAAAAATGGTTCGCTTCGGGCCCCGAGCAGAAAAAGAAGTCCCCATTTCTGCGAACAAGGAATAACAAAGAAGCAAAAGATGGGACTGGAATAGTGTATTTGGTATCCTATCTTGGGAAGTGGAAAGCAAATTTTACAGTGAGCGGCCACACCTCGTCCTGGTACATCCTTGAAGCCCATTGCAGCCTTTCCCACAGAAAGGATTCGTGAACTCCAGGGCCGTTGTCCAGCAGGGGGGCGGAAAGCCTTGAACGACAATTCGACGATGAATCCGGGCGTATGAGGAAAAGGAATGGTGAAACTATGTGAAACTTGCGGAAATGTGAAGATGGCCAGAAGATGAATCAAATGTGTTGCTTTAAGTTGTTTTGTGCTTCTTGCTGCGGTAAAGGCGCCAGTTCCACATCAGCGGACCACTCGGCTCCCAATAGGGACTCCTTTAGAGCGCTGAGATGTAAGGCATCTTGCCCCATGCCCAGAAAGAGCGCTCCTCACAGTGCAGTCAGCTGACCCTCCCCAGACTATGATTCATCAACAAGGCATCAAACGAAATGACAACATGAAATGACAACTATCACCATGATTGCCTCCGTGAATATTTTCTGTGTTCGTTGAAGTTCGTTGACTGCATGGTTACATATGGCTACCAATGATGGCGCTTGGAGTTAGCCTTCCGAGTATGACACTAAATTCAGCCTCAGCGTTGTTTGTAAATGCTGAAGACTCATGCCATGCCTCTATGAGTGTTGACTTTGCAATTATTCAAGGGATTCATACTGATCCTGTCTTTACCGTATTGATCTTACGTTTCTCCCTGTCCCAACCGTCACCTTGTCTCGGAAGCTTCGGGGGCGATGTCTCTTCCAGGTCAACCTCTAAAGGTCCCAGTTCTGGTTTTGCCGCATCTGCAGATCCGCGCAAACGCGCTACTCGAATACCATCTGCAGACTTCCTCGGAAACTTGACACAACAAATAGGCCAGATATGTGTTCCGATTGGTTTATAGCAATAAGTTTGCCTTTGAAATGTTCAAACACACACCTTCTCTATTTGGGTTTGCATGCGCACACAACCAGCTCCACGTCTGCATAGCCCCAGTGGCAGCAGTGAAGTGGAATGCAAGACAAGAAGATCTCACAATGGGAGCCGTCAAATTTGTATATAGATAGAATTAACGATTTGAAGCATCTATAAGAGGCAGAGGTCGAAAAAATACATGACTTGACATCAACGTTGGAATACCCGCAAAGCAACGAGTAGGCACTTTGGAATGCATTTTGTAGACCCAGTCTGGCATTGAAGTCGAGTGGCATGTAACTTATCTGCGGCCACATATCATTAGAAATCTGCAGCTTCCTAGCGGCACAAAGCTCAAGGTTCAGATTCCTCATCAGCTAATCATACAATCTACTACAAGCCCTTGTCTCTCTGCAAGGACAAACACACTCTCCTCCAGAATTGGGGGTCCCTATTTTGTTTGTCATCGCCTTTGCTTGATCGCTTGCCAGCTTGCCATCGGTCCTTTTGCTTGACCTCAATGACAGCTGCAATGGAAAGTCCTTGGGACGCAAGATGTGAACCTCCGGCGCAGGCCTTAGATGTCTTGACATGGCATGACACACCCATGGCGCTTGCAATCTAACGCGGATGTTGGATAGGCTGCTTCATAGCAAGTTATACGCTCATGTCTGCTTGGCGATTGAACCTACACCGTCCAAAGTTGTCGTCAGATTCAAGACGACGCTTCGCAAATCTTGCACATAAACCATCTATCCAAAACAACTCCTTTCGAAGCCTTCATCATATTTGCTTCATGTAACATCATGTATAATCATACGTGTATATATACATACATACATATATAGAACACATATTCACATACATATATACTGTGTATATATATATACACACACATACATACGTGTGTGTGTATATATATATGGTCCTGCTGGTCTGCACCTGCATAGGGAACAAGCAAGAAAGTAAAACAGAGGAATGTCAAAAAATCATCAGGATATTGCAGATTTGGCTCACCATGCTGCATGTGAGGCATTTGGACTCCTCAGCATGCCGTGTCTTGGCATACTATGAAATCATATGAAATTAAATCTAGTTTCCCCTTTTCCCTCGTAGACAAGATAATCCCTTGGAATCCCTTGGAATCCCTTGGAATGCCTCCTAAGAGCAAATGAAGCTCCTTCCATAGAGGTGTGCTCACAGATCGGTCTATATCAGGCTGCAGTCAAAACACCGATTCAGATCCGGCTGCTTCGAAAACTCAAAATATGCCTTCAGCATGTCTCCAGTGCTGGAATTCCCTCGGCTGGGAAGTAGCACCACGTGCCTGAGATCGTTGTGATCTTGGGACAACAGCTGAAGGTTCGAAAAAAAAACTAAAGTTCAGACACTGTTCAGACTGCGTGAGCTCAAGTTCAGTTGGGAAGACCTGTCCGAAGCCTTTCTATTCGAAATTTCAGAAATCTTTTAAGTGTTTTTCAATGTGTTCTCCTTGGCACAGCGAAACGCCATCGGAACCGGTGGCCAGTCTCTGAACAAAGCCCTTCGCATCATGTACTCTGCACTTTGCATCCTTTTCATATGTTTAAAAGAAAGTGCTGCACGCCGTTATCAGACTCTCCGGCGAACTGCAAGTTATAATGACACAATCATGTATTCATGTATTCATGTATGTATTCATGTATGTATGTATGTATGTATGTATGCATGTATGTATATGGTATCATATCACACATTGCAAGGGACTGGCAAAAACAAAATCTCTTTAGTCTGGCAACCTGGGTGAGGCCAGCTGCAGAAGGTTTGTCAAGTCCGTCGCTTCGAACCTTGAAACAAAGGTGGTTGTGAACTTTACCAAAACAGCCCTGCCTTGGCATACCTTATGCCTTGAAGTAAGCCTTGAAGGTCTCTATCTGGCAGTGATCCTGTAACAGAAACAGTTCAAGGGCTCCATTCTTTCCACCAAGGATGACCCAGAACCCAAAGGCATGCGGCTGCATGCACATGCCCCTACCACATCGCAATCAGTCTTCAAGGAAACGGTACACCAGCGTGGTAGATTCTTTCAGTTGGTTTGAGTTTATTCGTACTGCCAACTAGTTCGCTTCTTAAAAGTAAACTGGGTTCCTTTACAGTAACAAGCGGCATCCGATATAGCACTTGCTGCTGCGGGCTTCTGAAAAGATTGGGCAACTGGTTGTCTGTTAATGGAAAAACAAGCGCTGGAGTAACCTATTTTGAGGCTTGCTTGGTACTTTGTGGCAATCATGCAGCAGAAGGCTCTCTTTATGGTGTGCGACCCCTTTGTGAGGTATTGCGATAATTTCCATGGTGGTCACAGCGGATGTAACAGGTTTTCTCTAGAATCTGAAACTCCCAACTACATGATAAAGATGGATGGATCCAAATAAAACAGGAAGGAAAACCTTGAAGGGCAATGTCTCAACAAAGCAACTGCCTTGATTGATGCAATCGATTTTACAGCCATCTTGACCCCGAACAAACACACAATCAGATTTGGAATGTCCTCATTTTCGAACAGCGCATGAAACCCAGATTCAAAGAGCACTTCTCTGACTGTATATATATATATATATGTACAGTAATATATGGGTCTAAAGATCAACATCAATCTATGCATACATACACATGAGTGTACCCTGGCCAAAAGGTTCGCAAACTACAAAGCTAGGTCCAGCTAGGTAAAATTAGATAAGTATGCAACTCCGATGGCTATGACCAGCCCATCCCAGCTACAAGTTCAACAATCGCATCCAAGACCATGATTGTTTTCCCGACTTCCGAGTAATTTAATGCCTTTTCCACAGCCCGCCCGGACCAGTGAGCTATAGCTTGGCAACGTGTTGTCCGGCAAAAACCGTATTTTGCAGTTCACTTTCACAATCCTGAGTCCAGCCATGTCCGATAATGTCCACTCATGTACAGCCATGTCCAGCTTGTGCTGTGGAATCAAAACATTAGAGCAACAATCAGGGATGCCGATCGCCTGCTCTTAGTTTTTTCAGTTCACCAGTCTACACTTCCCACAAGACAGCACCTACACGCATTCTACGGGTCCAGTATCATCTTTCTACTGCTACTGTTAGCACTTGAAGTTTCTCTTGGTCCTTATCCACTCCCAGGTTTGGTCTCCTGCTATCAGCGTTTCTCATTCCTCTTATGGGTTCCTTTTTGCTTGATATTGTTTGATATTGCTTGATATGGTTTGATATTGCTCAGTGTTGCGACTGTTTCAGCAAGATCCAAGTTGTCTGCTCTTGCAATCCCGTGGGGGTCTATTCCTCTAGCAGTGAAAATTACCTCCTCAGTCAGTTCACAACATAGTCCTACACACCCGAGTTTCAAACTTCCTATGTGCGTACATATATATATACATGTGTATAAGCCCCAAGCACTTTGCGCATCCTTTTCACTGCCTCTGCTGTTGTCCATCGGCAGCTAGGCCAAGTTTTTGGCCGATGCTGCATGATTCCTCCATACGCCCCAAGCTCCACATTGTCTTGTGAAGGTTGGGTACCAAACTGAGGCTGGCAGGCCAATGTTCAGAAAACCAATTGCCTTTCGCAGCACTGCCGAGAAAGCGCTCGCTAAAGTTTGAATTCTGGTTCTCACATGTTTTGGCAGCTTCTCAGTGTAGGTGACGTATAAAACGTCTTGCAGGTAAACTTCACATACCTTGTTTGTCATCCAGCGTCCCCTGCGTCGCACCATGTCAATGTCATCTGTGGCCAGTAAAGAGAAATGTCGCTCCTCCGTGATGATAACGGAGGCCTGAAACTCCACGGGACATCAACGTCGCTGCTGATACATCCGCTGCGCTCGAAGGAGCCATCCTGCGGGACATTTGCTGGAGCACCGCATTGAAGAAGGTTCCTCTGTGCAAGGCGAGCTCCGCTTGCAACTTGGCTCTGCCCGCCGCACCTCGGGTGCGGTAGCACCTGTGAGCTCTGTCAACGGATCCCCATGCTTAGAGGCAATCTGGGCAGCTAACGTTGTCAATGCTCTTGATTGCTCCAAGACATGCACGTGCCAAGCAGGAGTCTTCGATCTGGGATGATTCGGCTACAAGGGCCTGCTTTTCTGATTCCAGAGCTTCCAGTTCTGCTGGCTTCCCATCCACATGCACTGACACAAACCAGGGCGCTGTGTGAGGTGCTCCAACTGTGGAGAAATCTTTGGCAAAAACTCTGAAAGCCCTTTGATATCCACGGCGGGTGATGCGGCAGTTGGCCTCTTGGGCTTGACACCAGCGCCGGTAGGAGTAGCCTTTCTTGCGGGCGGTTTTCTGTCTCCTGAAAAGGCTCTCTGGCTCGTACTGCTCCTCGTCTGGGGTGTAGAATGCTGCTGGGTCTGGTAGACCGGCAAGCCAATCAGGGCGTCCAATGAAGGCACACTATAGTGAGAATCGTCCTCGAATACGCGATCTCCTCTGTGGCAAGGGGCTTTCACATATGGTTGAGGAGACTTGGCAAGGAGTCGACCACCAAGACGTCGACATCTGTTCCTGTTGGAGAGACCGCCCCTCCATCCAGAATCACTGACGGGACTGTGCAGCGAAGGGATGGCCCAAACATGGCGCCTTCGTCTCCACGATTGCCAGCTAGCACCAACTCTTGAGGAAGAAAAGCTGCCGGCATAGCGAGCAAAATGCCATCGGCTCGCTTCATAAGGGGCAGCACTGCGCTCTCTGCATCTCCATCCTCGATCTGTCCAAGAGGCCATGCAAGCACGTAGGGCTCCATGCTGGCATCCATAGAGTCCATCATCATTGACAGGTGTCGTACTCTGCAACTCCAGCTCCAGCCAGGAAAACCTTGGCTTCCTGCTTAGGCGGGAAGGCGTGGGAGATTGCAGAAGAGGCGGCGAAGTCGCCGACCACTTCCCAGTAGGACTTGGCTGACTTATAGATAGTTGGCCTTTCCAAGCCAGGGGCTCTGAGCACCACGTAGAACCTTGGGCGAAGATCCAGTTGAGGGCTGTGGTTTGGAGAATGAACCCTGCCGCTAGTCACAGGAAGCTTACTGGCCCGCCAACCAAGCTCTCTTGACTCTTTCAGGCCCCGATGTTGATGAACCACCCAACTTCTTGCCCTCGGACTCCAAAATAGCGGGGGCAAGGATCAAAGTTGCTGCAATCTGGTCCCTTGTCTCAGGGACACGAGCAGGCTGAGCAGGAGCACCACCCTCTGAAACCAAATCAAAAGAGCCCTCTGACTGACGGAAGATGTCGCAAAGAAGAGGTGGATGATGCGCCCCTGGAGGAGATGTCCTTGATGAAGTTCGCAGCAAGCTCAGGAGGCCCACGCACAGTGATATGGAGAGCACCCAGCTTGCAAGCCAGCTCAATGTCCTTGGCGTCGTCGGACCGAAGACTCATACAAGTGCTCGGTTGGCGCCGAGTACCTTGGATTCCTGGAGATGGAGCCCTGAGCAGCAGCAGCAGATGGGGTAATCAGATGGCCAAACGAAGTCCAAAAAGTCCAAATGGCCAGGAGACACAGGGAAGCGCCGAGGATGAGACCAATGACGAAGACGAGGCAAAGGATAGACAGTGAAGGTTGGGTTCAATATAGAGGACACCCCCAGCCAAACACGTTAGTCCTAGCTCCCTCCAAGGCCAGGTGGACCCAAGACACAAAACCTGGAACCATGAGCTTGAGCGGCGTGAAATCCGCTTGAGTGCTTGCTGTCATATGTATATTATATGTACATGTATATGTAGATGTATTTATATATATATATATATGTGTGTGTGTGGGTTTATATGTGTGTATGTGTGTATATAAATATATATTGTGTGTGTGTGTTTATGTGTACATATATATATATATGTGTGTGTGTGCTTAGCAATGCCACACTATTCCCTGTATTGTACATCATTCTACCCACCCTGACAGACTGCGCAAAGGCTACCTTCTATGCTTCTACAAGACCCTCCGTGGCTCCCCCTTCCTTCTCTATTACTTCTACTCTTTCTCATTAGGACGGTTTTTCCTTTCTTTACTATGTTCTTCATTGTGTTCTTCTATGTTCATGTCATTCCTGTTGATTATATACTGGCTTTCACGAATAGATTTTGATAATGCAAAGTCTTCCAAGTCTCCGTTCGCGCACCTCACAATGCATTGGCTCACGGAAGTGCTCACGTAGGCTTTCACGCCATTCGAGATTTTCTTCCTTCATGGCCTGGCATCGCGTTGCAGCTCGAACAGTTTAGAACACTGCAAGGTTGCAGCAGTCCACATCTGGTTTGAAAGTGGAACCGCATTGACTTATTGTATATTACTATATTATACAATTATATGCTATTATATATACTGTATATACTTATTGGTTCAGTTTCATAGGCACCATCTTTGACGCCCGCTCCTTCGCGTAACTTTGGCGGAACTCTCGCAAGAAACCTCCCTGTCGGGTTTATGAGTGTCATGAAGATTCATGGCCTCTATATAACGTTCGCAGACCTTTGGCAAAACAGACTTTACTTTGGGGAACACGATAAAAAACTTTTGGCGAGGAATAGAAACATGATATGAACAGTCATGGCAATTGTGACTCCTTATGGTAGCCTTTTGTCGAGTACAGTAATGTATACTCTATATACTCTATACATATCTGCATGGCTGTGGCAGAAATAGTTGCATAACCGTTTTGTGCATGAAACAAACAAGGATATGTTTGTCTAGTTGTCAACCTGGTGATGCCTGTTAAGTTGATCCTAACTTGAGCTCAAACAGGCAGACTGCCTCCATTCCACTGGACAGTGGAATGCTAGATGCTCGTCCTCCTTCTGCCATTGACGGATTGCTGTATTTGTTGCCCTCTTGGTCCTTCACGACTCACGAAATGCAACAAAGTGATACAAAGTGCAGGTCAGACAGTTGATGGTATAGTTCAGAGCTGCCCCGAAGCCATCTAGTGATCAATGGCCCTGGATAGACCGATTGTAGCTGGAACTGTAACATGTGCCTCGCAAATTCATGCAAATTTGTCATAAATGCACACTGGCCAAATGTGCCACTGGTTTGCTCAATCCCCTGCCAAACAGATGCTACTTACTTTTGGAGGAAAAAAAACGCCTCTGGACAGCACAGCCTGTGTTTAAAATGTCTATTTGCAGGTTCCTGTCAGCAGTCTCATGTCTTGAGTTTGCGGTAGGAGAGGAAAATTTGCATTCTTCTGATGGCAAAGGTCAGAAGAGTGAAAATATGGATTGATGACATCGCACTCAATGTGACACAATCATTCCTAAACAAATCGAAGAAAAAATGTACATCCCACTTTCCTCGATGGAACTCTTCTTTGAATACTACAGTAAAACCTGCTTTCCGTTTCCTCAACTGAAACCGAGGTATCCTCAAAAGTTCAGAGGTGTTTTAGAGTTCAAATCTTCCAAGAGAGTCTTTGAGAGACTAGCCGCGACTAATCTGAGGTTCACAAACTGCTCCTGAGCCTTCCAGAGGCGCACTTCAGCAGCGCTTAGAACTTGCCCATACCTAGGAGCCAGAGAGACATTGAAGCCAGACAGACAAATCTGGCATCTTCTGCGGCCCAACAACGTGCTTACATACAGTACAATAGATACATCTCTGTTTGTTTTTGGATGCAAAATGATTAGCAAGCGAGCAGCAAGCTCCACAAGGGGGCAAGAAGACAAAAAAATGCATTACAGTAAATAATAATGAACACACTCATTGTCACATTGTCATGTTTTTCCGGCTTCGGAACGCAATCTCCCCGCTCCAAAGGCTTCTAACAGCCGGATGCTGAGGCACTGATCACTCTCAGCACGTTGCTCTTGGAATGCTGCAGTGCGACTGTTGGGCCAACCCAATGGGCTCCACAAGGCATTGCCCTTCGGTCCACTTGCTCCACCTGGTCCACTTGGTCCGCTGGTGTTCACAGCGGCGACATCCTGAACCCAGCCGATATACACACAATACCCAACTGTTCAACGGTCGCCTGATCCCAGGGTTTATTGGATCTATTGAATCTATTGTTTAAGATGTTCATCCAGATTGGTGAGCTTGAAACCAGATCGTCAAGCCACAATGAGGAAGGGGGATATAACTTGATATAACCTCTTCTAGGCCAAGGCCGAAAAAATACAGATGACAATGAAACTGGAATTTGTTGCAAAAGGTGGTTCCTCGGGCAGAGTTGATACTTCGTGTCAAAAACTGCCTTCTTATGTTCTCAATATTCACAACAAGTATATACATTCAAAGCCTACAAGTTTGCCATCAGACCACATTCTAAGATTCAGAAAGTTCAAAAGCGAGACGTTTTTGAAGTCTTTGGGCCAAGTTGCCTATGTCCTCGCTCAAGGTTAAAAGGAACCCAAATGTGTGAACTGTGCTTTCGCGGCTAATGCTTTGCATACTTTCTGGATGTGAATTGGTTAAATCCAGCGTGGTGGCTAGAAACAGACAAAAAATACAAATCAAGTTCGAGAGGTGTCCGTAGTAGAGTACAAAGTGATTGGGAAAAAAAAACACCAGAAGTAAAAATGTTGTGAGGAATCGTGTCACTCAATGGTCAAGAAATTAAGGAGGACCTGAGGCATCAAAATTGTCCCACTCACGCAGAAAACACAAACACAAAAGCATCCAACAGGTCCAACAAGAACTTGCTAGCACTTGGTAGTACTTGGTGGCTATGGTCCACCGTGTGCCCGGGCCCGCGGGCCCGCGAAGGCCCGCGGGCCCGCGAAGGCCCGCGGGCCCGCGGGCCCGCGCTAGTCTTGGGCTATCGGGCCCGCGCTAGTCTTGGGCTATAGTCCACCGTGACCTTAAGCCCGTGCAACACTAGAGACCGGCAACAGCAATGCAAAGTAATGAAAACATTCGCACATTTTGAGACATTCTGAGCAAATTTGAAGAATTTTGAGCATTTTGGAGCCGTTTTTGTGGACCAGCTTGGGTCTTTTCGAGCAAATTTCAAACAATTTTGAGCATTTTTGTCGGGCAAGTTGGGGTCATGTCGAGCAATTCTGAGCAATTTTTGGAAGCACGATATGGCATTGTTGACCTTAGACAGTGTTCAAGATGTCTCACTTGAGGCTGCTTTGAGACATCCTACTTTAGCTGAAAAAGGTAGCTGATGTAAACCCCACGGATCTAGACCCTAAAAGGTAAGGGCGCCTCTAAGAGGCCGTGTGTTTCAGCACATGGATATGTTTCTATTCAATTATGTTCCAAGGTTTTGCCACAACGAGAGCGGTTTTTCACAGATATCTATATTTTGTGGGTGTATCAAAAGTCATGGAAGGGTATGGAAAAATGAGAGTCACGGTGTGATTTTAATGGTTTTTGTGGGACGAAAGCCATCAGCTTGGAAAAGACAGCGTTACGCGTTTTCTTCTGCGTTGCCGACGTCTTTGTTTCAGCGGCTTTTGCGGCCAAGTATCATCAACGTATCATCAACGCATGATCAACGTAACATCAACGTATCCACAGCGCATGATCAACGTATCATCAACGCATGATCAACGTAACGTCAACGTATCAACAGCGCATGATCAACGTATCATCAACGCATGATCAACCTAGCGTCAACGTATCATCCACGTACCATCAACCTAGCATCAACGTATCAACAGCGCATGATCAATGTATCATCAGCGTATCATCCACGTCGCATCACCTTGCACGCAAGAGATACATGAACGTTATTGCACCCCCCCACCCCTCCCAACCGCAACAGTAGCATCAACGTCTCCTCAACGTAGCATCAAAGTATGATCAACGTAACATCAACGTAGCATCCACGTCGCATCAACTTGCACGCAAGAGACATGAATGATATTGCACCCCCCCAGCCCCACCCCAACAGTAGCATCAACATCTCCTCAACGTAGAATCAACGTATGATCAACGTAACATCAGCGCATCATCCACGCCGCATCACCTTGCACACAAGAGACATGAACGTTATTGCAACTACCTGCCACCCCACCCCACCCCAAAAACCTCAAAAAAACACGGCCTCTTAGAGGCGCCCATACCTAAAACGAGACCAGTGAGTATTATAAAATAGCCCCTGGAGAAGTATTATGAAATATTAGTTTTTTCAAATGGGTTCAATTGGACAAACCTTGCGTCAGCATCCTGGGGTCATCAATTTGTGAGGATCCCACCCAAAAGTGCACTGAAAAAATGGCGTTGTAGGCGTAGGCTGGGATTTTGTGAATGCAAGGTCTGATTTGACCCATGGGATTTTGTAGAGCCCGAACTGACCTCTACTTTGCATGACGGCGCTCATGAATCGCTTTTCTGTGATTGTACAGAAACTTGGAGTTTTGGAGGGAGCAACAGGCAAGGGTTCAGTCCACACGGAGAGGTTAAGATGATTTAAGTTCACTCATTTTTTGAATCTTTGGAACTTCATACCGCGTGACCATGCCCTTTGATTGAATAAAACACCATAGCGGACAGGGACTGTGCTGCCTGTATCGTGCTTCCATGTGCTTCTTTCACTTTGTTAGTGTTGTCCCTTCACCTGCATGTTCCGGGTTGTGAGATTCTATGTCAGCCACTCCTCTCCTCCTTCTTGTCCTCCTCGCCGCGCCTGACCTCAACCGCAAAACCCGGATCAGAGTGGTGCCCGCCGGACCTGGATCACAAGCGCCTGGGTGAGATAGAATGCCACACTGAAAGTGAGAAGACACAATAGCCACGTATGCCAGAAAGAATTCCAAAAGAGATGCCATAGCATGGCAGCCTTGAATTGTCAGAAGTTATGCCAGATAGACACATATGCCAGATAGCACGCCAAAAGATATGCCAGAAAGAACGCGCGGGTCCGACTATGTCAGTTTATGCCAGAATATATTTGAAAATATTTGTTGGATTGCCAGAATAAATACCGGAAAAGATTTGCTAGACACAGATGCCAGACAGAATGCAAGAAGATATAGACGATAAAATGCTGACCTGAAAACCCTCGGGCCCGCGCGGGCCCGCGCAAGTCTTGGGCTATCAGGGGACCTATGTCCACTTGGTAGCATGGTAGCAGTTGGTAGCACTTGCAGCACTAGCCCTCCTATTTTGTCCTGGTGTTCTTACTGTTTCTTGCAGTTCTCTTTCGTTCCTAGTGTGTACTTATCTTTGTTTGATGCAATGCTCGATTCTTGTTCACGGGCCTCCTAGACCATAAGCAACTACCCTTTGAAGTTTGAACAAACGATGTCTGTCTGGGCATAAGCTACTTGTTGCCCCTCAGGACCACAAAGAATTGTACAATCTTTTGTCAACTTTTGTCAAGAAAAAAGAGACAAAAGCGGGACGAAGGCCCTTCACACTGGCAAGGTCGACATTGACATGCCAGGTTCCAAGACCTTTGGGCAACAAAGCAATAATATGCAGTAGAAAAAATGTGCAAAAGCCCAAGATTCCAAGGAGTCCAAAGATAAAGAGACAAGGCAACTACATTTGTAGCGAAACGGCTCGTAGGACTCCGCGCTAGATTTTCCACAGAGCCTGTGCAATTTCAAAACTGGAGCGACTTGGCAGTTTCCCAACTCTCTGACTCTCTGACTGGGTCTCCTTGGTTTCTTTGAACTCCTTGCTGTCCTGACAAGCTGTGGAAATTCAGGGCCGCCCAAGCAAACTGAAGCAGGCTTAAGCAAGCTTGAGATAGGAGCAATGAGGGGAATCTGAGCACTTTGTGACGGAGACAATGGCACAACTTACGGCCACATATCTAGAGGGGTTCCTAGCACTGGCTCCTTGAGCTCTTCCTTTGCCTTGGCTTCAACCTTGACCTGCAAATGCTTTCAGATCCGGAGCAGAGTGGAACCTACAAAGCTGAGAAACTTCGCATCAGATGTGTCCTTGTGGTTTTGGATGTGGAGCTTCGCTTGCATTTCCAAAGGTGAGTACAGTATATACAGTGGCGCTTGTAGGTTCAGACATGTTCAGACCCATCTTTCCATACATGCCTGTGTGGTATGTGTCGGGAGGTATGTGAGAGTATTATTGTAAAGTATGTAGACATCTGTCTGTAGAAGCATGGAGAACCTTTAGATGCAAAAAAGTGCGCATGCAGCACGCAAATGTATCAGAAAGCAAATGTGAATAAGCCAAATGCTCTAGTTACTCTAGTTCAGCCTCGGGTTTTGCCTCTTCTTCCTTTGCAGCTTTGCTTGCAGCGCTGTCCTCTCCTTTCACCTCAGATCGTGAAGTGTTCGAAGCAGGCTTTGTATCGGAAAAACGCAGTTTTGACCACTCAATTGCATCTGAAGAGCCTGCAAGATATCTTCTGCCTGTGCTTGTCGCTTCAATCTACCCACGACTTTTTGTAGGTATAGAGACCCATGGGAAATCCTAAAACCACCCCGCTTCCGCTGATTTATAGGGCAATTGAAAACCTTGAGAGACTATCATCAAATGGACCAAGTGAGTGCACTAAATACACTAAACTGAACGGTGCCTACCACACCACCTAGACCAAAAGAACAGAATCACCACAACAGGAGTAGCATTTCAACAAGCTTTGCTACAAGCCATGCTACAAGCTTTATTCGAGACCGTCTCTCCTAGTCCCTCCTATTGCTATACTGTCGGCACTCCCAGGAATGTTCAGGATGTGATCGAAAGGCTGTTTGCGAGGCAAATGCACCCTTCGGATGAAGCTAAAGAATTGTCTAGTCCTAAGAGAGACTCTAGAACTATTTAATGTTTCTGGCCACTCCGTGAAAGGGAAGTACTTTTGTTGGCTGGCTATTCATGTATGTCGCTAGAGAGGAAGACGGTTTGCTGGGCGTTCTGAGTACAAGCGGGTCAACTCCCTGATCTTAGCCTTCATCGCCACAGCGATTTCCTTGGATGACAGGTCCGACTCGTGCGACATAATTTGCAATTCTCCTTCCTGTGAATCAATCAGTCCTTTCAAAGCTTACATTATTAAACATTATTTATATGGCCAATTTTTCCTTCCCTCACTGTCTTGGATTCTATTTCTCCTTCGCAGGCTTGAGCTGTATTGGAGCTTTGGAGGCCACCTTTGATCCATGTGTTTCTTTCTGATCCAGCCAAAAGAAACCGAGACAAGTCGAAAGCCGAAGCCCCGTGGGTCCTTTGTCCAAGTGGCAGGCGGGGGTGCAGGCTCGGAGACCTGCTCCTGTGACATTTGAATGGACCGGACAAACCCGAAGGAAATTGCTCGTGAATCCAAGAGAGACTTGCTTCTGAATCTAACTATAATCACAGAACCTATTTCGGGCCTATGAGTGCATCTTTAGACACATGAAATACTTGAAATACATTTAAAATACATGCTTGGAACATATGAACTTAGTGTTCCCCTATCAATCGGTACATGAATTTTCCGGCAGAAGTGAAGTGCCTATCTCAGGGTGTATATATTTATATTCTATGATCAATTGAGTCTGCATGGCACCATCTTGATTTAACACACTCGAACAGCTACCTCTCAGCCCTGCTCGAGGGGGTGAAACTACATGTCTGCCTATGTGCCCGTGCCGCAAATGCCTGTTTGTATGTGGGTGTAGATCTGTTTGCTGATTTGTCAAAGGAAGCATATCCACCTCTGTATATACATATATATATATATGTAGATATAGATACATATATATATATATATGTAGATATAGATATATATATATATGTAGATATAGATGTAGATCGATACACATATACATGGACGTCCCACACGTTGTTTTGTAAGATGATGTAAGATGCCCCAAATTGGCAAAGGACATGCGGCACTCCTGCATCTTCTCATACAATGCACGGAGTTCTTCATCCGGCAGAGCAGATTTCATGTGTTGGTGCAAGCGGTACTCTTTTCCTGTCACAAACTTCTTTATTTCGCTGAAACAGCGAAAAGGTCCAACATGCATAAGCTAGATTCTGTCCCATAAATTCAAACAGGAATGGCACAGCTTCTAGTTATAGATTTGAGAACATGGATGAGAATATGGACATTTGGAATCAAAAAGCCAAGACACGACCAAGGATGTCAGACAAGCAAAAATGACAGTATCCAAATTGTAGGAAAGTATCTTATCTACAACTCTGATGATCAAAATGGGTGGGCATCGCGTTCAAGATTGCAGAGACTTTTTGCCCTTCTGATCCTTTTGCTGCTGTCGCTCAGTTAGATCATCCTCTTAATATCTCTCGCTCTATTAGGGATTAGCAAGGCATAGCAAGGCCTAATAGGCCACAGTAGTGCTTACTAGGCCCTGTGAGTCTAGTTGGTGGTTTGTCATGCTCAAGATTGAGACAAACTAGCTGTCTAGCTTTCCTCCATACCCCTAGACCCCTCCCCAATGATGACCTATCAATGATGGATATGATGGTTTTGCCACATTGGGTCAAGCTGTGGTGCTGGCATGCACTCAGATCTTTGTCCGCCAAGGTGCGCACACATTGGTTAAGGACAAAGTCTTCTAGCAGCTGTCGCGCTAGTGTACCACCAGGTGCCACACCCAAGAGCCACAGCAGCGTCTTGGGCTCTGCTGAGAGCCGGAAGAAAAGCTCCTCAAAATGCTTTGAATAATGTCAACATAGTTGCGAAATGGATCAATACAATGCTACGCGGAGGTTTAAAAGCCAGAATGTTTTGGAGCGCAGCACTGACATCAAGCCTCCATATCATAGACCATGACAGTACCTCAAACCCTTTATATAACTTTGGACATGTTCACCCAACTGAAAAGCTCACACACACGCAAAAGAAGCATCGGCAATGACGAATAAGAACACTTCAAGTCCATACCCAAAGAGGCACAAAGAAACTGTCAGCGATGCGTACTGCAACCGTTAGGTAAAGTCCCACATGATCAGGTCCATTGCAGTGCTATGCTGCATGGCCTAGAAATCCTGAAGAGGGGCCAACAGCACCGGCCAGTTACCCTGTTCAGGTGGTGAAAGCAATTCCTTATTAACCCTTGACAGAATCGAAAGAGAAATTCCATTCCGGTTTTGAGTGGAAATTAGGCACAAAGGAGACTGAAAATTCAAAGAAGCAAGAGTGAGTGCTCTTGAGACAGGAAAACAAACTTCTGGCAATGTCAAATGTGCCATGGTCAAAACATTGTATATGGTTATTGTCATCAATCCCATCACAGGAATCCTTACAATTGGTGTAAATCCCTATTAATAAACTTATGACCATCCCCCCGTATAAGTATGAAATCCAAGTTTTGATCATTGCACAAATGGGAAAGGCCTGGTCTTCTTGAGGAGAGAAGAGAGAGATGCAATCAAGCAATTAATCAATTGATCAATGAATCAATTTCATCAAATGATTGAAACTAAGCGTATGACATCGTGACCTGGAAATCACTTCTAAAAAATGCGTAAATGATATGTAAATAACATGTAAATCATGTCTAAATCATATGTAAATAATATGGAAATAACATGTAAATCATATGCAAATAATATGTAATCATGTTGATGGATGTTGATTGAAAGTGGTCATACATTTGTTAAGTGGACTGATGCCGCCAGAGTTTCTCGTGCATCGCCTCCTTCCAAGTGCTGAGATGTAGTGAATATCACCTGCAAAAGAAAGGTACAGAGTGTACTGTAACACTTGGTAAGACCCTTGGCTTTCTTTGGGATCAATCTTTCCTTGCCCATCCTACAATCTTCTAATTTTTTCTGCAATATTTCGCATGTTTCTGCCTTACTGTTCATGTCATTGTTGTCTATACTACTTGAGGCCCCTGGGTAAGGGACGAATGCTAGCTTGGCAGTGAGTTTGCCAGGAAACACAATGATACTAAGGATGCGGATGCTGCCAAATTTGCTGCCGGTGGCGACATGCCGACAGTGTTCCCGGGGGGATTGAGCCACGGCCAAACTGCTTGTGAACCAGCCAGCCGGGGGGAGGGGGGGTAGTGAAGTATGAAGTTTCATGCCATTGGAGATTCAGTTTTCCCCAATACCTTGCCAAAGCAAGAGGGACTTCAGCTAGCAAAAGCTAGCTTTCGTGATTGATATATAACATGAGTGAGAAGCGAATGGGCATTGTCGGCTATTTACTGTTCAGTAAGAAGATGCTCTATTATAAGTCTGCAAGCAGCAAACTTCAACAATGCAGCGGTCATCCAGCTCTCTAAACTGATGAAAATACGTTACTGATATTTGGGAGCGTTCGAGTCTTGAGTTTCAGACAGCTTCCAGCAGGTCTCGAATATCGAACATCATCTGGAGATGTAACGAGACAAATTTTGAGTACCACGGAGTGCAGGCGACAGATTGCTGACCCTTGGGGTGAGTTGCGCAGATACAAGACGCAGATCAAGATTCATTTCGATGTTCCAGTGATAATGCCAGCAAGACTGCTGATAAGAGGGCTCCCAGCAGAATGACAGCTAGATATAGTGTGTCACATACTTTGCAAATTGCCAAGGGTCATGCAGGGCACCAACTGTGAGTTCTGACTCACAAGGTACAGCACCATTCGTCAAAAGAAAGTTCCGCATAAGCGCCCCCAGATAGAAGAGTTCCTTTTGAAAAGGTCGGTCATACAACGTGTGTATATATGTATATATTATATATTTATATATGTATATATATGTATATATATATATGTATATATATATATTGTTATTATTATCACTATTATTATTATATTTATTATTATTATTGTTGTTATTATTATCATTATTGTTATTATTATTATTATTTTAATTTTGAACTCTTACATTGTTGATGCTGTGCTTTCGCTTTGTCATTTCATTGGTATATCTAGAGATAGAGAGATCAAGAGATAAAGAGATAGATAGCTAGATAGATAGATAGATCGATAGATCTAAATAGATAGATAGATAGATAGATAGATAGATAGATCTAAATAGATCTAAATAGATCTAAATAGATCTAAATAGATCTAAATAGATCAAGATAGATCTAAATAGATCAAGATAGATCTAAATAGATCAAGATAGATCTAAATAGATCAAGATAGATCTAAATAGATCAAGATAGATCTAAATAGATCAAGATAGATCTAAATAGATCAAGATAGATCAAGATAGATCAAGATAGATCTAAATAGATCAAGATAGATCAAGATAGATCAAGATAGATCAAGAGAGATCAAGAGAGATCAAGATAGATCAAGAGATATCAAAATAGATTAAGAGAGATCAAGGAAAATCAAGAGAGATCAAGAGAGATCAAGGGAGATCAAGAGAGATCAAAAGAGGTCAAAAGAGAAAAATATATATATATAGAGATTAATAAAAAAAAACATATATATATATATAAATACATATATATATATATATTATATATATAAAGAGATGACAAGATATAAAAAGAGATCAAAAGAGATCAAAAGAGATAAAAAAGATATATAAAGAGATAAAAAGAGATCAAAAGAGATAAAAAGATATATAAAGAGATAAAAAGAGATAGAAAGAGATAGAAAGAGAGAAAAGAGATAAAAGAATAAAAGTAAAAATAAAAAAAGGGATAAAAAGATAGAAAAAGAGAGACAAAGAGAGAAAAAGAGAGCAAAAGAGACCAAAAGAGAAAGAGAGAAAAAGAGAGAAATAGAGAGACAAGGAGATAGAAAGAGATAGAAAGAGACAGAAAGAGATAGAAAGAGATAGAAAGAGATAGAAAGAGATAGAAAGAGATAGAAAGAGATAGAAAGAGATAGAAAGAGATAGAAAGAGATAGAAAGAGATAGATAGAGATAGATAGATAGAGATAGATAGAGATAGATAGATAGACAGATAGATAGACAGATAGATACATAGATACATAGATACATAGATACATGCATAGATACATAGATACATACATAGATACATAGATACATAGACAGATAGACAGATAGATATGCAAATAGGTAGATAGGTAGCTAGGTAGATAGGTAGATAGGTAGATAGGTAGATAGGTAGATAGGTAGATAGGTAGATAGATTCCAGATTATAGATTCACAAGCCAACCTGTCAAGCATCACAAGTGAAACGTGATTTCTTTTTTGCTTAATCTTGCCGCACCTGTCCAACCTGTCTTGGGATCCCTCAAGAATGTTGCATGCTTTCGGTTTTGGCTTTCAGTTCTGTGTCTTCCATGACATCTGATGAAACTTTACTTGATATACAAAACTATATCGCCTTGGGTGTTTTTTCATTATTTCACGTCATCAAAACATGAAACTCTTCCTGCCTTCGGGCGGTTCAGTGGATGGGCGGCGATTAGCTCTTCGAGGCTCTGGAAGATGCGGATACTTTTCAGTACCTGGCCACGGGTCAAGATGCGAATGTGGCGAGATGCGGCGAGGTGTGGCGTAGTGAGTGCGACGGGACTGTGCTGTGAGACGAAGATGACTTTGCATTTGTGAAGAATGCTACAAAGTCTATGCTCCATTCGATTCCAGCGGGCAACATGCAGAAAATCGGCCAAGGCACGAAAGGATGATGACCAATCCGCGACTCAAAGGCTTCTAGCACTTCATGCCCCATGTACTCCAGGCCTGGGTTCCAAGATTCAGCAACCTGCAATACGCTTGAAAATCCAGCAACCATCATGCCAAAGAAAGAAAACTTAAAACTTCATCATGTTAGCATACTGGAGAGCTCGGACTGCAGTTGAACCTCTTTCGACTCAAGCCGAAGAAAATGCGTGCCATCGTTGCGACTTTCGCAGCAAAAAGCCCAGTGTTGTGCAAGTAGGAGAGTTAGAGATTTCGGTCTCCATTGTTTACATCAGCTACAGTCAGACTGCTGTTTCCCCAGCTTGACCAAATGTTCCGTTGCTGTACATTTCAATGCAGATTCATCTGCAGTGGCATGGCCCATGAATGCCAACCAGCATATTCCAAGAACCAAGCTGTGAGGAAAAAGCAGCCTTCTAATAGCCAAGAGACGGGTCTTCACCTGGAACTTTGGACAATGCCAGCAATCACACAAACATTATCATTATCAAGATCCACAAACTGTGACATATTGTGATCATGAACGTCATACTTGCGGCTACTTGTGGCAGCTGGTGCCACTGCTACTTCTGCCACTGTTTTAGAGTGGTAGTTGAAGTGGCAAAGTGGTCAATGGTGTTTTGGGGACAAATCAGGTGGCAGCAGTGGTGACAAGGTACCAAAAGGGATCCAAGGATACCGAACACATTTACGCTTGCCATACGACACCAATCTCTTCCGTCTTGTACCAAATAAATTTAAATAAATCTGTCGCGCGCATTTGCGCGGTCTATGCAGAACGAATGGAGCTTCAAATCGAGTTCTGCGCTGCAGAAAATGCATGTGCCTTTTGCTTTTTGGTACGCCGAAAATATAAGCAAAATTTGTTCAATGCCTGTTGACAGTTCCCTTTATCTGATGGCAACACTATCAACACTGTCAATTGAGTCAATTGTGGTTTCAAAAGGCTGTCGACACTCGACTCCTTGTATCTTTGCTAACTTTACTGCCACGAAAGATTTTGCAGCATTGCGTTCTATTCGTATGGACTGCTTGAGAAGGGTCACTACCCAAACAAATTCCCTGCCTGGTCCAAGACCATGTCTCCAACAGAAGAGAGCCAGCAAATAGGATAGGTATTGAGTTGCCGGTCCTGTCCCCAAGCAGCTTCGAAAAGGAGCAATGCCTGAAAGCGTCATTCAGCACAAGACAAGCTGATCAGTTGATTGCATTGAAGAAGCATGGTCCAGCACCAGCATCTCACCATCTCAAATGAGTCATAGCACTTTCATCTGTTTTGATGGATCACAGCATCGTCAGGATCGACTTGAATGTAGCGCAGCAAATATCTACATCATCCAGCACATTCAGCACATCAAGCCTTATTTCCCCGTTTGGTTTCTGCATCTCTGGGAAAGTTGTCTTGCTATGGCTCCGCCTCTGGGATCCACCCTGCCACATCAGCAGGAATGAGGACACTGCCGCCCTTTCGAAGGGTGCTTATGGTCTCCTGAGTCAGAGGACAAGAATGGACAAACTGGCTATGTGCCTTTGTGCTTGCCCCGGGTTTGCTATATTCCACTTGCCCCAACATAGAACCATCTTGTCCTCCCACCCTGGTCTTGCCTCCAAAAAGCATTGTTCTCGTACTGTCCGGGCTGCTGAAATTGCCTTGCACAACTGTGGAGCCCAATTGCCACTTGCCACTGGCTGAATCAACCCTAGAAAATTCCTTTGAGTTGGGAGAGGGACATGACCCTGATAGCGTTGACAAACTCCAACGAAGGGAGCGAAAGCCGGCGCTCGCAAAGAAGACCACAGAGGGCACAGTCTTATATAAGGCAAATAATCATTCTTGGGGCAACTGAGTGCGGCTGTAAACAAATAAAAACCAGATCAAGCTCCGCGCTGCCTTCGATGTGGATGGTTTCGCTTTCTGATGAGCTCCCTGTGGCAGTGCCAAGCATGAAACGGAATGAAACTTTGATGCGTAGTTGCATCTCCACATACAATGTAAAGGATTTTTTTGAGAGGAAACCTGAGAGGTGATTCTGTGAAATGATAGACGTCGCTGCAAACCCATTCTTTGATTCACTGTCTGAGAGTTCCAAGATTTGCCAAGCGGACATTTATGATCCAATATTGTGTATATATATATATATATATACACATAAACTATGTGTGCTCCAAAGTGTGTCCAAAGTTGTTAAAAAGTTGTGGTTGGAGCTGTCCTGTGGCAGAGCCAGGCCCATAGACGGGACAGGGGCAGTTACCAGCACATCCCAACGTTGAGCCGCGCCTGCATCGAGCCGTTCTGAAAAGGGAGTACGGAAATAGGAAACCCAAGGATACCCAAGGAAGATGTTGAAGATGTGAATGATTTTTGAGGAACGATGCGATGACTCATGTCACCATCCAGAGAATCCATGCACGATACAAAGGGCTCCTTTCACCCATTATTCTGCATTGAGCAACAAAAACACTTATTAAATCAACTATACCTATATATCAGGTATAAGGAAATCAAAGTCACTTGCAAGACCACAGGCACCCACAAACCGCTGAGTACCTGTGCAAACAGGTCGAAGACGCTGTACTTCTAGACCATCCAAATATCTCCCTTGTCTCATTGTACCATCCACAAGGTACACTGCAGACCTGAAACCAGCATCTGAAAATGTAAAGGGAAAATCACAGAACTACCATAGATCATCATAGATCTACTGCAGGTGGCTTTTGGCCAAGTCCCAAAGTGGCTAGAATCGGCTAGAACATAGGCTCTGCTCACCAGAACTCACCAGAATTTCAGGCAAGTGGTTCGGAGGCACGGGGGATTTGGGTTTTTAGGATGTGAGGAAGGTGCTTGAGAATATGCACAGCAATGCACAGCCTTTACGAAGCATCTTCTTGGTACAACATCTAGCTACTTGCGTACACCGCTGGCGATAGCTCTTAGCCGGAACAAAATGCATGGTATCCAACACTCAGCACAACCTTTCCAAGTCCAACCTCAGGTTTTTGTTTGGACCAGCTGATTCCAACAACACAAAGGCCAATTGGAAAATTCTATTAGCTGCAAGTAGATAGTGTATCTGCTTGTTGTCCTGGAGTCGGCAGCTAGATCAAAGTTTCTCTCTTCATTCTGGTCGTTTGGGCATTTAACAAAAATGTTCAGTGAACAATATTCATGGGGAATCTGCGCCCATAGTTTCTTCCAGGAAGGTTCTCTTCTCAAGTTGCTCACCTTTGCTGAATAAATGTTATTATTGCAAACCTTGTGGCACCTGCTCAGGATCCTTAAACATGATATAATGAGATGTACATCTGATTACTATGTATATACATATATCATATATATAATATAATCTATGTAATATATAATTAGACAATACTAGTAGATGGACCTATTTGGTGGTGGACGACGACCTATTCAGGTAGACATTTTCAGATACAGGGCCAGGCAAATGCAAACAGGGGGCAAGCTGCCACAGTGAAGGGTCCAGAAGGCGCTTCCCAAATGAGATCCAGCTGGATATGGACAGGCTGCCAACACGCGTCCATTCACAGAGATCCTAAATGTTTCTCCTGAGCAAAACAAGGCTCTGGATGGGAAATACTCCGCATGACAAAACATAAGCTAGCTTGCCCTTGTGGTACACTGAAGCCATGAATGACAACAGTTCCATAGCAAAGGCATGATGCAGCATGGTGAACAAAAAAAACATATTGCACAAATCCAAGGCTCTGTACTTCAGCGTCGTCAATCTTGACATGAAAATTCGCAGCACATCATCAACCTCCTTGGCAAGGCATAAAGTCCAACCTGCCAAATTTCTTTGCCTCCTTCTGCTTCGATGTTGTCGAATGGAAATTTAGTTTGATGATTCTTGTACATTCTATATTGACTTTCTGTTTCTTTGTGTCGTCATATTGCCTCTTTGCCCGGTGTAACAATTTCTTGCCCAAGCATCATACGCCTCAGATGCCTCACGGTACTTCTCTCGGTCTTCCAAGCAAGCCACGCAGCTCAACTCGCCCAAACGGCAGACTGGTTCAGTGCACACCACTGGGCAAGAAACTGGATATTTGCTCAACCTCAGGAAATCAGATGAAATCAGAAGTGTGAGCCACAAAAGCATTCCGCAGCTTTCATAGTCTAAAAGACAACAAATGGCAAAATGTTGACGCGGGGTTATGACAAGCTCGGGCCGACGAAACAGCTCACCGGATTTTGGGGATCAAAATGCACAAAAGCAGCGATTGGTGAATCCTGTCTCCGGCATGCAATCATACACTTGCATCTGTATATGTATTGTATTGATGTATTGTATGTATGTCCAACAACAACAACAACAACAAACACAAACACAAACAACAACAAACAACAACCAGCAACAACAAACAACAAACAGTAACTAGGACAACAACCAGCAACAACAAGCACAACAATGAAGACAACAACGACAACAACAACAACCACAACCTCTCAAACTACAGTCTTTATCGGAATATGGGGGCAGGCCCGGCCCTTGCAAGAAAGAAAACGCAACATCCGGAAGCCTGCATTGGATTATATATAGAGTGTGTGTATATATATACATATATAGTATGAGTGATCAAACACAAACAAGAAGTCAATGATTCCATGAAGATGGAAAACATGCGATAACATAGAGGTGAAGACAATACTTGGCAAGTGATGCTTTCAAAAGCAGAAAAAACAACAATGTTCCTTATGTACGAATAGCGCGCCCTGCCAGTAACTCTGGAGCTATTCGCAATTTCCCCCAAGATCCCCCAAGGTATTTGTATCAAAGCCAGGCTCTTAAAGAAATCAAGAAAATTTTGGAGAACGTTCAATGGTCAGCGCAAAGGATGTCAACTGAAACCAAGTCAGCAACCGCGAGCTCAGAAAGCCAGCCAACAGCATGCCACATATGCCTATATGCTCTAGATAAGCTCACGTTCAACCCGTTCAAACGGTTCAAGTAGAGTAGGAGCTCAATACTAATCCGGCCAGTTAAGCCAGTTCACACGTACGGCAACGCACCCAAATGCCGCACATCAGCATGAGTCAAGACCTCAGGCCGATGCCAACGGACGACCAATGGTAACGATATGCTGAGGGCAAGCAGCCTTTGGAAACTGCAGACTTTAGACTGTCTCACTGCAAAAACTGAAGCACTACATAAAGCACCGCGAAGCACGGCAGTCATAATCAAACATCACTCTTCTAAATCAAACCAGAGTGCAATCAAGTCCAACTCTTGCAAGTGAGGAATCAGCGGTGTCCTCGGAATACAATGGCACAGAAGCGGAAGCAAGATCTTGCCAACTGAAAAGGAACAGAAACCGACAATAAGTGTCCAAAGTGCTTGAATTGTACCTTGCACTGTGTTTGTGGCAGAGTATGGACGCAATGGTACAACCTCCAGCCCATTCTGTGTTAGAAGTGTACACTACTCCACCACCGAATCACTAGCTGGTACCTTTGGATTTGCTCTCAGGGACCGAGACCTTGTTTGTGGGCATCTGTCGTGACTTGGCAAGTGCAAATGACATTATGTCGGAAGTTGCAAGCAATTTGATAGCCAGAGAAGGAAACTCCAATGCTAAACAGCTCAAAACGGATCAACCTTTTCCCAGTGGAAAGCTGTTGCCTTCTCACAGACATATTCCAGCTGCACACAAAGGGCACCAAAACATAGTAGAGACAGAACCAAACGCGTGCCAAAATCTTCAACACACAATCCTGCTTCATGAAAACGAAATGCCTTGCACATCGGCATCAATGCGGGACCACTACTCGTATGAAATTGAAATGCAGATCCTGCGGCTTTACTTGCACTCCCTCAATCTTGCGAAAAAGCAAGAGCTTCTCTCAGACTTGGGATGTGCCTTTGAAAGGAGCCAGGCGTCAGTAGCTTTGGGTCAAGCGATTCTGTCCAGCCACAGTTGAGCAAGACAGTAAGACCTTGCAATTCAGCTCCAAGCTTCAGATGTATTGTTGAAGCCTAGAACTTGGCTCTCAATGGCTTTCACCCAAAATTACTAATGGGATTTAATGAGGTTTCAAACTTCCCAAATCAAATGTGTATATATATATAATCAACTTGTTGGCTCAAAAACACACGCACAAAATAGACACATTCCGGACACAAAAGTAGCACAACAGTAACACAACTAAACTAATTCAACATCCCAAGAATTCCCAAGACTTCACAGAAGCCTCCAAGCTTCAAGATGCTGCACTGCCTTGGGTCACACATTCGACTTCAGTGTGAAAGTTTCGACTCCACTTTTAAACGATGTTTGAGCAAGCAAATCATCTTGCTTTAAGCTTGATCTAAGATCCTGATATTTAATTTATATGTACATATATACACATAATATATATATATATATGTACACACTATATATACTAGCACGTATATGTATCTACTTATCAAAATGCACAGAGCGTGACAAACACCTTTGACATCGTTTGACATGCATGCAAATGACAATGAGCTTTGCCACGGCAGGGTTCATTCATTTGTGTCACACAGTGCCAAAAAAAGGAAAGGAATGAAAAGTATGCAAAGACTTCATGCAGCGACCTGCTTTGCAATGAAGAGAAGGCATCCACTCTCTTTTCTTCAACCCCCTAGTGTAGTTTTGAGCTATCCTTCAGCCGGATTGTCATCTCATGGAGCAGAACATGTTGCGTCGTTGATCCATAAACACGTGCTGAAAGCAAGGATACAAGCATGCCTTTTCGATGACTTTGCTTTGACACCAGTACGTAGAATTGTATGCATCTTTGTCATTGTGATTTCAAAACTCTTTGGACTGCCAAATGCCCTTGGACAATCCTGCACGCAAAAAGGAAAACTTGGAACAGCCTCGCTGAACTAGTTTGGGAGGGCAAACACGTTAAAACAGGAAATGTACTTAAGATAAGAACTGAAGAAACGAATCAAATTAATATATTATGTTCCAGAGAAATGGAGAGTTTGGTGGCGAATGAGGGGTGACAATCGTGGAAGATGTGACAAGTTTGAAAGCGGTTTCATGAAAAGACAGCAGCATTGAAGGCTAAAGAAGGACAACATCAGGGGAAGGATGAAAGACAAAGAGATAAAGAAAGATGCATCCGAATCAAATGGAGAAAAAACATATGGGATGTTTGAATGTTGGTGTATCTGTCTATCGTGTCAATGTATATAGTGTATATATATATATGTGTGTATCTATGTACATGTATATATATATATGTACATATATATATATATGTATAAATAGATATACGGGTGTGTATCAAGTATGTACACCTTTTAATCAATCGGGCAAGTTTGCATAGACACTCTTGAGGCTTAGCTCCTGAACTCTTGAGTCACAGGAATTTCCTGTCCTATCCTTTCAAAGCTTGTTTAAGATTTGCCTGGCAAGTGTGCTTCAAACCCTGGAGACTGAAACAAAGGGTGCACTCTGCAAACATATGCGGTCCAGTGCACCATTCCAAGGAATCCTCGCAACAGTCTCAGGGAATGACATAGTGTGCCACAGATTCAACGACGGAAACATAAACATGAAAAGAGCAGAACACAAAGCAATGATGCCTTTTCAAGCAAGGCCATTGTAGAAATATCGTCAATTGTCAACTCATTTCAACAAGCGAAACCTGGCTGTTAAAAACAAGAATTCCATGAGGCTGGCAGCAAAACAAGTCTTCCATGTCCCTCTCCTTGGAGATGGGTAGAAGAGCAAAGTCCATGGCTTGCTAACCGCCCCAATTTGGCTAAATTGAGCAGTCATGGCAAAACAGAAGTACTCGGCAGAACCGTCTGAACCATCCATGTCCTTCTAAACCGCCTGGCCCAGGATCCCTAGCACGGAAATCCTGTTTGACCCCCATCACTCCTTGTGCCTATGCCCTTAACTATGACTTCTTCAGCTTCTTATATACATATATATATATATACACATTCATATTTACATGTGCATATATAATAAATTATAATCATATATATATATACATAATGATAATTCATAAATGTGTATATATATATATATATGTTGATAATTCATAATATGTATATATATATATTATATACACATTTAAGAGAGAAAGAGAGAGAGAGAGAGACAGAGAGAGAAAACAAAAGAAATAAAGCAAGGCACAAAGAGTGCAAATACACCGGTCATCATCAACTCAGCATAGCATGCACAGTCTCAGATTCTCCTACCTGTAGCAAAACAAAGAACCCAACAATTGAGGCTGGCTGACATGGAATCGCTTCAAAACAAACTGACATTCAGCCCATGCGCACCCACCAATCGGCCTCTCCACATCATCAAATCGCACTTCAAGTCCTTCAAGCCGCCACTTCCAATCAGCCTGTTTCTACGATTTGCTATGATTTGCCACTCCTCTACTACAAGTTCAAGATCTTCACTGGCTGTTTTCATCTGCTCTCACTGTTTCTGGCAATGTGCAAGGTGCTCATTCGCCGCACTCTACTTGAGGCTTTTCGTACCCTGTCTGTGCAAGTTCCAGCTCCTTCAGCAGTTTGAACCACGTTGAATGTTGCATGTTGCAAGATATTGCAAGTGTCTCCCTTAAGCCAGAGCATGGTTCCACACAAAGGGAAGTGAATCTGAATAGAGCCTCAGAGCGCAAGCAAGACAGTAGCAAAGGGGAGTTCATGTGTGTCTGTGAAATGAAACGAGCCCAATGGTCATGATTCAGTGGAAGAATGTAAACCTATTGCTGGGATGTCGTTGCGCACTGTTCATCTTTCCAGTAATGAGTTTCACATGCACACTGCACACTGCACACTCACTAACAGCGGCACCTTGCGCATCCTTTTCAACTCAACCTGGGTGAAACATGCACAGGGGTGGAGAGCACAGCAGAAAGTAGTCGACACTCCCAGAATGAAGGTCCTCAGATTGCTCAGATTGCTAGGATTGCTGAGGGGAGGCAGAAAGGAATGAAACACAGAGGCCGATGGTACAAACTGAGAGAGGCGAGAAAGGTGCAAACAGAAAAAGAACAAGTTTGAATTCCATATGAAACTGCAACATGAATCGAACATTGACATACTGCGCATCGGCCATTCTCAATTGGGCATTCCATAACGATTCTGTAAGCTGCCCTGGAATATGAGCGAGACAGCAGCCAAGTGGCGCTCCCATCTCAGCGGAAAGTTGCAAAGAAAATGCCGGGTGTCGACTCAACAAGGCCACCTAATTTGCGCAAACACATACTCTGCGAATGTCTGAGAAGACAACGTATAAGCTTTCTCCAACTGTAGTGAGGATATCTGCAGACAAGAAAAGGATAAGTCAATTCACATTATTTGATGCAAAATTCTAATCTAGCTTTTGAAGAATTTATCAGGGTTCCGACTGGGGTTATAGTCAGCTGCAGGTGTTGGCTGTCCAGGCTGTCTCTGTGTCCAGGTGGTCTTGCAAGTTTGAGGATAGGATTCTGAAATCACACACTATTTTGCAAAAATCAATAAAAATCAATCTTCAGAATGTCCAAAGCCTCCTCCTTTCAATGAGTCTATTTTGACGTCAGTGGACACCAAATCTAGGGTCACAAAGGCGGTCTCGAAGAAAAGTCTTTTTGTAGCTCACCAGAGAGCTTGCAAAGTTTGGGACAGGTAGTTCACAAACCTCTTGAGTGAATGGTTCTGTGTGAGCCTTCTTGGTCCTTTCTCACTTCCTTACACTTCCTTTGATGCGGACAGTCAAAGTTGCCCTTTCTGTTTCTTCAAGTTGTCTTTGATGTCGAGGGGGAGCAGGATGGTTTCGCAGTAGTCATGTGGTAGTGACTTGATTGACTTTTGGAATAATGCCAAACCTTGGTTTGCTGTTTCAGGATTGTCTTGGGGTGCTTGGGTGCTTGGTCTCCTGGCTTTGTTCGCGTCTGATTCCTATAAGATTTGATGCAAGACATCGGGAGGAAACAAAAAGGGTGATGTTTTTTTATGTTGTCTTTGTTTTTTTTCAGTCTGGGGCAGTTTTCCTTGCTATTTGCTACATTTTGGGGCTAAAATCTCTGATTTGCGTGCTATTTGCTACATTTTGGGCTAAAATCTCTGATTTGCGTGCTATTTGCTGCATTTTGGAGCCAAAATCTCTGATTCGCGTGCTATTTGCTGCATTTTGGAGCTAAAAGCTCTCTGATTTGCGTGCTATTTGCTGCGTTTTTGAACTAATATCTCTCATGTTGCATGCTATTTGCAGCATCTCAGAGCTGAAGTCGCAAATTTGGGGAGCTAAAATCGTAATTTTGCACGATAGTTGCAACATTTAGTTTTCACCGGTTTAGGGTTTCATTTAGGGTTTCTTTAGGGTTTCGTTAAGGGTTTCTTTAGGGTGTCGTTAGGGTTTCTTTAGAGTTTTTTTAAAGGTTTCTTTGGGTGTCATTTAGGGTTTCTTTAGGGTTTCATTGAGGGTTTCTTTAGGGTGTCCTTTAGGGTGTCCTTTAGGGTTTCTTTTATGGTTTCTTTAGGGTTTCATTTAGGGTTTCTTTAAGGTTTTATTTAGGGTTTCTTTAGGGTTGCGTTCTTGGTTTCTTTAGGATGTCATTTAGGGTTCATTTAGGTTTTGGCTTCTTTGGATGTCATTTAGGGTCTCTTTAAGGTTTCATTAAGGGTTTCTTTAGGGTTTAATTTAGGGTTTCTTTAGGGTTTCATTTAGGGTTTCTTTAGGGTTTCTTTTAGGGTGTCGTTTAGGGTTTCTGTAGGGTTTCTTTTACGGTTCCTTTAGGGTGTCGTTTAGGGTTTCTTTAGGTTTTTTTTATTGATGTTCTCGTTATTTTCTTACAACAGCATGCATACAAGCTCCTATACTCTATGTCTGTAGTTTTTGTGCAGTTTACATGAAATATATGTGTAATGTATTACATGAAATCTGATATGCAAACTACAATACTAAAATCCAACAATCACCAAGAGCATCCAAGAGCCAGTTGAAGTGAACGGCCAAAACCAAAGCCAAGAGAAACCAAAGCCAACCAAAAGCCATGAGCCATAAGCCAAGTGAAGGCAAGTGAAGGCAAGTGAAGCCAAGTGAAGCCAAAGCCAAAAGCCAAAAGCCAAAAGCCAAAAGCCAAGTGGGCACGCAAATGGGAGATTCTAGCTCCAAAATGCATGCAAAACACAGATTTTAGTTCCAAAATGCAGCAAATAGCAAGGAAAGCTGCCCCAGGCTGAAAAGCAAAAAAAAACTTAAAAAAATACCCTCCAAACAAAAGCAGCAGAATGATGCGATCTGCTGCGATACGGTTTAGTTGTTGGTAACGTGATGAGGCAGAGCTCAAGCAGCTTGACCACGGCACCCATCGTAAGACACCAAGCTAAACTCCTGAACAAAAGACTGTACATGTATATGCCTGCGGACCGAAAACCGTTCCCGTAAAACGCACGTTTTTGAATATCGCGATTGTGGGGTGGGGTGGGGGGGGCATGTTAACGTTCCTTGTACTTCGTACATGAAATATTGCCACGCTGCTGAGATCTCTGGGATCGTTTACTACGGTATATGTTGCTACGCTGCTGATGGGGGGTGGGGTGGGGTGGGGTGGGGGGGCATGTTAACGTTCCTTGTACTCGTACATGAAATATTGCCACGCTGCTGACATCTCTGGGATCGTTTACTACGTTATATTATGTTGCTACGCTGCTGATGGGGTGGGGTGGAGTGGGGTGGGGTGGGGGGGCATGTTAACGTTCCTTGTACTTCGTACATGAATATTGCCACGCTGCTGAGATCTCTGGGATCGTTTACTACGTTACATGTTGCTACGCTGCTGATGGGGTGGGGTGGGGTGGGGGGGGGGGCATGTTAACGTTCCTTGTACTTCGTACATGAAATATTGCTACGCTGCTGAGATCTCCGGGATCGTTTACTACGTTACATGTTGCTACGCTGCTGAAAGTGGAATCTGATGAAAAAGTCAAGTCCCTAGCAACTTGAGTGCCAAAAGTGACCTCTTGATGGTGTATGCTAGAGCTTGGCAATGGAGATGCATTCACAAGAATGCTGACTGCCAGCTGATAACGGTGCATGCGTTGCAGCGATGACGCTGAAAAGCCAAAAAGCACGCCCCAAGTTTTTCCAGGATTTCCAATCATCAAATCAGCACGGCACTGTGGTAAAATCACCATTTTTTTTAAAAACGTGCGTTTTATGGGAACGGTTTCCGGTCCGGCGGGATGTATATGTATGTGTATGCATGTGTATGTGTATATATATATACATACGTGTATTTTATATATATATATATTATATATATATCATACATATATATATATACTGTATGTAATGTAATTGCACTGATGCTGTTCATAGAGGCAGAGCCAGCCATCCATGGAATTGTGTGCAGTACTGATAGCATCTGTACAAACAGCTCGCTCATTGCTACCAAATCAGCCAGAAAACCTCAAAACACTGAAAGTCAAATCAAAAGAAACAATTCATTACTTTAGAAGGTAGGTGCGGGTTCGAGAGATTACCAGTTCCATGCGCCGTCAATGACCTGACCATGAATGTGATACGATGCTCAAACCATTGCGCGCAGATCAACACAGCTCTAGGCACGGGGCAAGCAGTCCTTTAAACAATACGGTTTTATATCATGTAGAAAAATCAAAGCCGCCAGCATCCACCGAAGAGTGAAATTGACACAAAATGGTCTTTGCCTTCGGAAATCGCCACAGTGGCAGCGATGCCAAAGAGCGATTTGAAGGCAAGATTGTGGATGAAACCAAAGATGCCAAAAAAGAGGATTGAAGCAGCATTGGTATTTGTTTTCCATAGCCGCAGCAAACGCAACATTTAGATACTGCTCTGGACTGTTGACTTTTGACAAAGCCGTATTCCAATTTTGAATCAAAACACTTACGTGCCCTGACAATCTCATTGGGCATCAAGACTAAGGCACTGAAAATATTCCACCAAACTGTCGGAAAAGATCGGATACCTGGCAAAACTGCAGGGTATATATTTGAACAGGGGTGAAAGTGAGTAGGAACTTGCACCCAGCTCAGGGCCAACAAAGGGAGGACAGATCAGATTTCAGACGGTTCAAGCTGGAAAAAATATACGTTTTGATTTTGCAAAAGAACTAATCTGCTGCCAAAAAGAAAGGATGTCATCGTTGGCAGTCGAATACGTACTGTGTACAACAAATCTGCAGTTTGGGTCTATATGATTGTAATGATTCGACATCCAAGAAGCAAACCCCGTGCCAAGCTTGGTGAAGAGTGCTGCAGACCATCGGTGGCCGAGGTTCTCCAACAAGCAGCCTACGAAGCACCTCCGTCAAGCCAGCGCACCCAAAGGTTGAAGAATACAGTATAGCCCAGTATAGCTGTGTATTTAAGTTAATGCATCTACATGAACAATGATACTGCATGTGATGCATTGAACTTGCATATCTAGCTGTACGTATTAAACATTTCTTAGAGAAAACAGGGGGAAAACAGAACAACGCATGTTTTACACTCCCTGGTGTCGGCAAACTAAGCGCGCGCTTTTTCATGCGCGTCTTGAGCCAGGTACGAACGGAAGGCTACTATGACCTACCCCACTGGAAGTTAAGGGATGGTCAATTCCTACTCCAGCACAAGACTACCACTATATCTAACGCTTCTAGATATAGTGTGATTGAGATGACTGTACGTCTATATTGGGAAGTTGGAATCATACCTACAACCACTACAGCATGGGGTGAGCTACAGCAGTGTATCAACACTATACATGTGGGGGTAATGGGGTCGTAATATTTCTACTCCACCCTCCCTACGCAGTCCCACTCATGCAGACATCTGCCACTACGTGGGGCGCGAGGGCGCTGCCCCTTCCGTAGACTTGAGCTCTGGAGGTCAGTGCGTATTCCTAAGAGGCGCAGGGCTGGCCCCATTTCTGCGGCGGCAATGCTTTCGTGAAGATATTTGCGGCCTGGTCATCGGCCTTACGGGCAGAGTCTTCGTGGAAGACCTCTGACAGACAGGACAAGTTGATCTTATGGGTTCTAGAAATGTGTCTAAGCTTTGGAGAGTATCGCTTTCTAACCACCAGGATGGTGGCTTGGTTATCCTCAAGAACTCTTAGGACAACACTACGTCCTAACAGTAGCTCCCAAAGCTGCAGAGCGGGTAAACCGTCCTGGTACAACGAGTGCACGAGGGACACGACTTCGGACTCTGTGGTGGACCGAGACGTCGAGGTTTGTCTCTTGCTTACCCAAGCCAACGGAAAGAATGTGTTTGGACCATACAGGATCAGAACCCCCCTGAAGTCGATTTGCCGGTCAAACGATCCCCCGCAAAATCTGCATCTACGTAGAGACGGAGTTCTATAGTTGCTCAGGGTTATCATTTATGGTCCCGACTAAACGATAGTGAGGTGTTGAATTGATGTACTGGACGAGTCTTAACAAACATTTTTCATCCCCCCTGGACCAGGACTGCACTTTGGTGGCTACATCGTTGATTGGTTTAATTAAATCGGGTCTAGACAGTCGGCCAAGCCACAACACCTTCATGAATATTTGGCATGCATTAGGGGCCAACTCGCCTTTAGCTTCTTCATCGAAAATTGAGACGGAGCCATCAGGGACGAATGGTGTTGCCGCATGCTTCAAGCTCTTGGTGTCGGTGATGCACTTATAAATAGGTCTACTGTCTGATGAGGATAATCTAACATGTCAAAAATCAACGCCTTTTGTACGCGAAACGCGGCACATTCCTCATGACCATCGGCTTGATTTAAAGGCATGACTAGATGATTGCGACCTAAGATTCGGTAAATGGGCTCAGGCGGCTCAATGTCGACAACTGATGTCAGTTTGGCCCAAAAGGGTTCTGCTCTTTTGTTGGACCGGCGAAGGTCAAATCATCAACATATGTCGAAAGTAACAACTTTTGTCGTCCTGCGGTGGCTATGAAGTGGGGCCTTGCAGGCTTTCTGCACTTTATGAGCCATAATGGAACACCGCTCGAGCTCATCAATCACGTGGTTGAAAAGGGTTTGTTCGCGCGGTTAATCTTGGATGGGGATCGTGGAATCGTGGGCATTACGTAGATGTATTTGTCGCGGAATGCCTCAAAATCTGCGTGAATATTTCCAGGAATGCGCAAGGACAGTAGGCTTCTCTCGCCTAACATGCCTATTCTGTCGCGCTCTAACTGAAAATATTGAAAGATCCTTTTAAGCATAGCCCTACCGCAAGGCATAGAGCCTGTGGCAAGTCGCTCCGATTCTACCATTTGTTAAAAAATCAGTCCAAATCTGCCTGTACGAGACGTTTTAATGAGCTTCAAGGCAATTTCACGATCCGTACGTGGGAAGCGCGGGTCGGATTTGAGTGACTCTTCATTGGCCGACAAACACTCCTGAGCCCACTGATAAACTTCACTCCCAGGGGTCTTCTGTAGCTTGCCAATGGCCATTAGGACTTGGTTAACATAGCCCCTGGCTTGACCGGCATTTTCAGGAGGGTTTGGGAACACTAAATCCTTAACGGACTTAACTCTTATCGTGTTATCCTCGTCCCTAAAAGCGACACTACCGGTAACGGGTTGATCAGGCCCTTGTTCCGGAGCATATCCCCCTTGACAGTTCATAGTCAAAACTGGGCAGTTGATTTCATCATGAAATTCTCCGCAAACCTACATTGAGTATATGGGTTAGGCGGGGGTGGACCAGCATCAGAATCTGATGAGGACGCAGAACTACCAGAATGACGTGAACGTTGGGAACCAGGGTTTTAAACATATGGAGTCCCCTGGGGTAATACACCTGGTCTATTGAGGGGTAACGGCGGCAAACCCGGTGGCAACACCTTTTGTGGCAAAGGCACATTTGCAGCGATCCTACGTCTAAAACCGCATGGTGCGCTCAAAGCAGATGGGCATTGGCGCTTTCGCCGCTTGCAGTTGAGCTACAAGTTGTGTCTGTGCATGCAACGCTTGCATTAGTTTTGAAACTTGGTCCTGTAGTGCACTAAGGCGATATTCGTTGGAACCCTGTCCACCTGCCACAGTATCAACATTAAGTTGCTCAGCACTAAGTGCTGTTACGGGATTAGCTTGAACTATACCCGACTGTAGGGGGGACAATGCCACTAGAAGTCACCGGCAGTCCCGGAGGAATTTGTGCCATTACAGGCGGTCCAAAACTTATGGGAATGCTTGGAACACTAGACATATTTTGAGAAGGCGATGCAGGTTGTTCTGCATTGGGAGCAACAGGACTAAACTGAATCAAAGGAACCTCCCTAGGACAGGTTGTCGTGGTGGTGTATGTATTGGGGTAGCTGATCCATCCAAATGGTCTGAAGAGAAGGGGCTATTTTGTTGACCCTGAAGCAAATCAAATTCCGTATGGACGGTTATTGGTGATTCAGGCACTGGAGTTGGGGTTGCAACAGGCACTTCATGGGCATTCTGTTGCTGAATGGCATCCAAGTGGGACTGGAGTATAGCAACTCATATCTCCCGCTACATTAACTGAATATCACGATCAGCTAGTTGTTGAGAACCAATTATAAGTTGTTGTTGAAGTGGTCGTACATTACCAATAGTACCGCACAAGGCGGTGGCGGAAGTTTCAAAAATAGGAAACCTATAGGAGAGGTTGGTTGTTGTGAATCACGGATGGCAGAGCCCACTGATGGACTGACAGGTGGTTGGATTTGTGTTTTTTGGAGTGGCTGCAATGGTTGCAGTGGTCACCTTACCACAACTGCTGGATGTAGTGTGGTGTAGTGCAGTTGCAGTTGTAGTTGCAGTTGTACCTGTAGTTGTAGTGTCGTGGGGCTGTAGCTGTAATGTAGTGTAATTAGTGTAGTGTAGCGTAGTTGTAGTTGTAGTGTGGTGCAGTGTAATTAGTGTAGTGCAGTGCAGTGCAGTGCAGTGTAGTGTAGTGTGGTGTAGTGTTGTTGTTCTTCTTCTTATTATTATTCTTATTCTTCTTCTTCTTCTTCTTCTTCTTATTCTTCTTCTTCTTCTTCTTTTTCTTCTTCTTCTTCTTCTTCGTTTTCTTCTTCTTCTTGTTCTTCTTGTTCTTCTTCTTCTTGTTCTTCTTGTTCTTCTTGTTCTTCTTGTTCTTCTTGTTCTTCTTGTTCTTCTTGTTCTTCTTGTTCTTCTTGTTCTTCTTGTTCTTCTTGTTCTTCTTGTTCTTCTTGTTCTTCTTGTTCTTCTTGTTCTTCTTGTTCTTCTTGTTCTTCTTGTTCTTTCTTGCTCTTGCTCTTGTTCTTGTTCTTGCTCTTGTTCTTGTTGTTGTTCTTGTTGTTGCTGTTGTTGCTGTTGTTGTTGTTGCTGGTTGTTGCTGTTGTTGTTGTTGTTGTTGTTGTGGCTGTGGTTGTGGTAGTGGTAGTGGTAGTGGTATAGTATAGTGTATTTGTAGTGGTAGTGGTAGTGGTAGTGTAGTGTAGTATGTGTAGCGTAGTGTAGTGTAGCGTAATGTAATGGTAATTGTAGTTGTAGCTGCAGTTGCAGCTGCAGTTGTAGCTGTAGTGTAATGCAATGTAATCAGTGTGGTGTAGTGTTGTGTAATGTAGTGTGGGTGTAGTTGTAGTTGTGTTTGTAGTTGGAGTGTGCTGCAGTGTAATTAGTGTAGAGTAGTGTAGTTGTAATTGTAGTTGCGGCAGTAGTTGTTGCAATTGTTGTTGTAGTGTAGTGTAGTGTGGTGTAGTGTAGCGCAACTAGATGTAATTAGCGTAGTGTAGTTTAATTAGTGTAGTGTAATGTAGCGTAGTATATTTCTAGTTGTAGCAGTAGTGTAGTGTACTGTAGTGGTAGTTGTAGTTGTTGCTGTTGTAATTGTCAATCTATCTACCTATCTATCTACCTTATCTATCTATCTATCTATCTATCTCTCTCTCTATCTGTCTGTCTATCTATCTATCTTTCTTTCTTTCTAGCTATCTATCTATCTCTCTCTCCCTCTTTCTATCTATCTATCTATCTATCTATCTGTCTGTCTGTCTGTCTGTCTATCTCTATCTATCGATCTATCTATCTATCTTTCTTTCTATCTTTCTATCTTTCTATCTTTCTATCTTTCTATCTATCTATCTATCGATCTATCTATCTATCTATCTCTCTCTCTCTCTCTCTGTCTGTCTGTCTGTCTATCTATCTATCTATCTATCTGCAAGTTTGAAAACGAAGCTATTCTGCGACACGCCCGCAATTTTTGAACTTGACAACATCAAAAACGCAGCAATTCAGGGAGTCTTCCTCAATTTTTGCACTTGACAACATCAAAAACGAAGCAATTCTGCCAGACGTCCTCAATTTTCGAAGTTGACAACATCCAAAACAAAGCAATTCTGCGAGACATCCTTCCAAAATGGAAAGTTGAGTGCAGAGCTGATGGCCTCGTACCAATGCGTTTTGCGATTTTTCCACTCCACCTGTTTAAAGTACTGCGCCTGCCACGAAAAAGTGATGCCAGGTCATACGAAGTGCTGCATCTGTCACGCAAACTCATCTTAAGGCTCCAAAATGCAACCGCTCGCAGGAAATAAGCGCACGGACCTCCTAACGGCTCTGATGAACATGTCTCTTGTACTGCGCCTGCCACGGAAAATGCATCTTTGCAGATCCTCTTCAAATGCCCCACGCCTGCCATCGTTTTTGGAAATGCCACAAAACCCTCACGTTTTGCTCACTTTTGACAAGGTGCACAATCCCTTGCGCCTGCCTCGCGAAACGACATCTGAACGTCCAAAAGTGGTCCGAACCCCGGTGTTTTTAACATTTTGACTTCGAAATGTGCTTCGCACCACAACAGCGTACACTTTTTCGACATCGCAACTTCCAAAAGTGGTCCGAACCTGGTGTGTTTTGTACATTATGACTTCGAAATGTGCTTCGCGCCACAACGGCGCATCTCAACTTCCAAAAGTGGTCCGCACCTGGTCTGCTTTGTACATTTTTGACTTCGAAATGTGCTTTGCGCCACAACGGCGTGCACTTTTTCGACATTGCAACTTCTAAGAGTGGTCCGAACATGCTGCGTTTTGTACATTTGGCTTCGAAGTGTGCTTCGCGCCACAACGGCGCGCACTTTTTCGACATCGCAACTTTTAACCGTGCTCCGAAGCTGAGGTGCTTTGTACATTTTGACTTGGAAATGTGCTTCGTGCCACAAACGGCGTGCAATTTGTCATCTCTCATCTGGCCAGCTGGCTCCGCACCCGCCGCTTTAGCGAGCCTACTTTTCGACCCTCCGGAGCCTCAAATCATTGGAAAAACACAGTGTTTCGCGACTTTCCTACCTTTTCGCGCACCTGGATCTTCTTTCTTCTGACTCTTTCTCTTTCTTCTTCTCTTCTCTTCTCTGACTCTTCCCATCTCTGCTTTTCATCTGTCCATATTGTCGGAAGTTTGACTTCTAAACTTCCTTCGATCACTAACCCATTGCTGAACCCTTTCTTGAACTGCACCCCTATTAGCTAATATTTCCCGTTCAGCTTCATCTCTAATCCCCTGAACTTGTTGTTGGGCCCTCATCTGAAGAAGTTGAAGGTTCTGATCCCTCTGCTCAATGGCAGCCCTAGCTTCCTCCTGTTGGGGCGAGTGGCCTGATCTTGGTAAGCCGCGGCAGCCTGAGGGAAGTCAGCTTGCTGTTGAACGGCCCCAGCATGGATGGCGTTGGCAACCCTTTGGGCATGTTGAACTTTTAACGAAGATGAGAGTGCTACATCGGCAGCATTCTTAGCTATTTGTATGCATGGTGCGCATGGGATATAGCTGCGCATGCCAAGAAAGAAGCCCGTGTTGCATGTAAATAAATGGGAATGTCTTGACGGTATCCGCTGCTGCTACTGGGTTCAGGACCTACATGTGCTCTCTGCCTAGGCCTGCCCCTATCCTCCATGCTAGTATCCGAAGATTCTGCTTGAGGGCTATTACGGGGTTGGACACTTCCAGGTGCTCTTCGCGGCAGGAATTGTGGGACCACTTGGCGTTTTCAGGTCTTCTGGAGAACTCCCAGACCTATCCATACCTGAGGACTCACTTTGCGGCGAAATCCCAGTCGGCATGTTTTGCCACTGCGGACCAGCACACTGACGACCGAAGGGCACAAATGTGCCGAAAGACACGGTACTGGGTGTGCAGATGGCACAACCTCAGGCGAAGCAAAAAGACACAAACGAGGCAAGCTGTACAAGGGCGAACAAGTCCTCAAGCCGTATCCAACTAAGCGGAGTCTGCCTAAGTTGAGTGATGGAGGAAACAGGATCACCTACGAGGTTGCAGAACTGATCGCTCCTCAACGGCACTGGCGAGTGGTTTGTAATGATCCAATCTCGGACAAAAGCCTCAAGTTCTGGCCACCAAGACATTTCCAAAACCCAAAAGGAATCACTACGGCTGATAACCAGAGAAAACAGGGGGAAAACAGAACAACGCAGGTTTTACACTCCCTGGAGTCAGCAAACTAAGTGCGCGCTTTTTCATGCGCGTCTTGAGCCAGGTACGAACGGAAGGCTACTATGACCTACTCCACTGGAAGTTAAGGGATGGTCAATTCCTACTCTAGTACAAGGCTACCACTATATCTAACGCTTCTAGATATAGTGTGATTGAGATGACTGTACATCTGTATTGGGAAGTTGGAATCATAGCTACAACCACTACCGCATGAGGTGAGCTACAGCAGTATATCTACACTATACATGTGGGGGTAATGGGGTCGTAATATTTCTACTTTCTTAATATACAATATGTATATTAAGATGCATCTGGTTCTTTTGTTCCACTTCGCAGCAATTTAGTCAAAACAAAATTAAATACAGGACCTACAAAAGAAACATCCCACCGAATATGCTCATTCGTTCCAGCTCAGGTCGGGCCAGACCCCTGACACAGAGCATCAAATTCCCATTTGACCCTACCCAAGGTACCAAGCCAGACCTCCGGTCCTCGGGTATCTGAGTCTCTTTGGAGGAGATGTTTCAGTAGGCAGGACAAAATTAAATACAAGCTCTACAAAAGAAACATCCCACCGAATATCCTCATTCGTTCCAGCTCAGGTCGGGGCAGACCCCTGACACAGAGCATCAAATTCCCATTTGACCCTACCCAAGGTACCAAGCCAGACCTCCGGTCCTCGGGTATCTGAGTCTCTTTGGAGGAGATGTTTCAGTAGGCAGCTAAAAAATAATACCAAAGCTCAAATCTCGGCTCAAAATGGTTCAATGTATTGTACCAGAACTCAAATCTCGGCTCAAAATGGTTCAGTGTACCGTCTTCCTACCCCTCCATCAAGGACAAGCCTCGGGAGGGGCAGGGTGGGACTTGAACCGGAAACACTAAGGAACACAACCACTCATCTGCATCTTAAACCCCGGGGACGGGACTCTAAAGATGCATCTGGTTCTTTTGTTCCACTTCGCAGCAATTTAGTCAAAACAAAATTAAATACAGGACCTACAAAAGAAACATCCCACCGAATATGCTCATTCGTTCCAGCTCAGGTCGGGCCAGACCCCTGACACAGAGCATCAAATTCCCATTTGACCCTACCCAAGGTACCAAGCCAGACCTCCGGTCCTCGGGTATCTGAGTCTCTTTGGAGGAGATGTTTCAGTAGGCAGGACAAAATTAAATACAGGCTCTACAAAAGAAACATCCCACCGAATATCCTCATTCGTTCCAGCTCAGGTCGGGGCAAACCCCTGACACAGAGCATCAAATTCCCATTTGACCCTACCCAAGGTACCAAGCCAGACCTCCGGTCCTCGGGTATCTGAGTCTCTTTGGAGGAGATGTTTCAGTAGGCAGCTAAAAAATAATACCAAAGCTCAAATCTCGGCTCAAAATGGTTCAATGTATTGTACCAGAACTCAAATCTCGGCTCAAAATGGTTCAGTGTACCGTCTTCCTACCACGGCCCCCAGTACTTCCAGTTATACTGGAGGCTCAAGTGTTGAAAAGTTCAACTCACAAAGGTTTGTTCAAAAACAGCCGAAAAAGAAAAGAAACAAAACAACGGGTTATAAAGAGGCAAGTCCATCACAGTGAGCCTCATAAACCCTTCTTGAAACGAAACCTTCCTTGCAACGGGAAGCCCTCCCGTGATCGGTGTGCACGAAACGAAAGACCGGAATGGATACAATCTAGCGAAAGTGCTTAAGCTTAAGCACTCGAGAGTACAATGAAGATTGACAGCTGGACCCGAAATATTCAGAGATCCACCAGCCGCACAGCTGGCTTAAATTCAAAATACCTCACGACACTTGACTTTCCCTGCTAGACATGCCCTAATCAGGCTACACTCCATCCATCAAATGATCTTTGCAAAGCCCACAAGGAGTTTTACTCCTAGAAGGAAAAATCGCCCCGTCATGGCCTAAACCAAGTTATCAGGGACTAGTGTTTTCTGAAGGGGAATTGCATCTGCCGCCCAACGTTTCGAGTAGCTGCCCGCGAGCAGGAAGTCGATGGTGTAGGTCAATCAAGAGGTTTTACGGCGATACAATCATACCAGTAGCTCGGACACGCGCGAGTCTCGAACTTCATGCGGGCGCTACCTGGTCGCAGAGCAGGGCATCAGGCTTCAGCCGGGGAGCTTTGAGTCGCAGAGAGTCGAAGAATCCTTTGCGTAGTAAGAGCACCCAGTCCCACATTTCATGGCATCACTGCAAGTAGCCTCAAGCTTTGCGAGTAAGGACATTGGGCCGGAAGATTTTGACCCAAGTTAGCTCCCAGAACTCTGTTTGGTACCATTTTCAAAGTCACGTATTATATATAAGTTTATTCCTTGATGTTGTCCACTGTTCTGTGATTGGGTGCGAAAAAATCATGCATACCTCAAGAACTGTGTTTCTGTAACATTTCCAAAATCACATAGGAGTGCAAGCTTTGATCTTGGCCATTGCTCGTCGAGTGTGTGAGAAAAGCTCCCACACGCCCGGTCTCCCGACCACCAGATTGGCATTCCATTCTGCGGCAACCTAACGCAGCTGCCCCGAAGTGCTGTAGATCAAAGGCGCCATGGGCTCGTTCTTCCTTCTGCATCAAGTGCGACCATGCCATCACCACCACATTGACGATCCTTTGCTGGAGAAACGAAATCATGCCCCCGGATAAGGCGATGTGAAAATCGTAGTTTTTCATCTCCAAGGGATTCCCAGACTCCTGTCATAGGGACTGTAATGCCCCGTTGAGCGATCTTGAGCTCCAAGGAAAGCGATCGAGCCGGCGTGGATCCTTTGAACGTATTCCAAATAGCAAAAGTCCAGTACTGCGGGCGGATATAGCATTGCGTGCACCAATATAGTGCAGCTGAAAACCCAGCATGCCTTCACGACGAGCCACATCAGGGAATCAGTACACCCCGGCTGAGATCACCTCAAAGTCCCAGTCCGCAAACCAGTGGGGTACGAACCGAGACCGAAGGAGTTAGCGTGCCACCTTGCAAGTGGGAGTACTCCCGAAAACCAAGTGGTGAAGGTGTGCACAGCGCGAACCTCATGACCTTCTTCCAGCCTAAGTAGATCGCTGCAGACATGTTCTGGGACCCGGCCAAACTCAGACTTGCCACATCGCCACCATATTCTTCCATTGAGCTATACACCTATGGCACTTGGTGAGGTTTTCGCTTTTGCGAAGAAGAGGTACGTTATCAGTTAGCGCCACGATCAGCAGCATCCATGGACGCTACCAAATACCTCATCTTGCGCAGGCTCTGATTCCAGCTGTTCATAGCGCACTTGAGGAACATGCCAGGCCAAACTCAACGTCCAGGCATTGTTTCTGAACCTGTAGTTTCCCCAGGGGCGGGACGCCAATCAAACACCCGTCAAGGGGCAGGACCGCAGCCTACTGAGTTGTGCTTTGCGACCTGGGCATTGACGTGCTTCAAGCATTCAGCAAGACGCCAATGTCGTAAGAAGGTTAGATAGGCAAAGCCACCTGATCCACCACAGGCGCAGGGATCAAGCCCCGTAAAGCCTGGACTTCTAGAACATAAAGAATAGCTAGTCCACCTGCCCTGCCCTTGCTGTGAGGCGCCACTGCTTTGCTCATGTTGTCCTCGTATAGGCTAAATCCCAAACCTGGCAGCCCCCTGCAGCTAGGAGGCCCTGCCCTCTGCGCTGGCTCCTTGAACTTCCTTGATATGCCACACCGTGTCTGGCCACATCGAAAGCCCCAGATGCCGGCGGCTCAATCGCCCTTGGGAGCATCCACCCACACCCCTTGGCCTTTCCATGTGGTCGCAGGTAAACCTCCAATGACAATAGTATCCAAATGACAACGGCCAGAACAGTCTAACATCGAAGGCAAGTGCAATCAACAGGGCCTTGTCCTATTCGGCATCAGGGATATCAACCCCGCTGCTCCTCAAGTATTGAAAAGAAGGGCTCCACTTGACTGCATTCAGTTGCACGTGCAGCGCCACCCAGCGCATAGTCACATCAAAAATTTCAGATGCCGGCAGCGCAATCACCCTTGAGAATGTCCATCTACTATCTCTTGACCTAAAAGCGATGGGAACGAAGGTAAACCCCTAACTGGGGTTATGTTTGGAGAAGCTGCAATCCTTGCCCCGTCTAGCCCCAAGGATAGTAACCCCGCTGCCATTCGAGTTTGACGACGAAGGCCAACTTGACTGCGTTCAGACGTGAGTGTAGCGCCAGGCTGCCCCTGTCTAGCAAACATGTCGTTTTCCAAGATATGCTAAGTGGTTACAATTTCACTTTTGCTATATGAATCTGCACGTATCTGGACGTATCTGGGTGGTTTTGGGCCGTACAGTGAGCAACACTGTCTCTTGTAGAGACGATGCACAGAATGCAAACGCTCTCTTCCTCATGGTAGAGGATGCAAAAACTGTAGAGAGGATGCACAGAATGCAAACGCTCTCTTCCTCATGGTAGAGGATGCAACAACCGTAGAGAGGATGCACAGAATGCAAACGCTCTCTTCCTCATGGTAGGGGATGCAAAAACTGTAGAGAGGATGCAGAGAATGCAAACGCTCTCTTCCTCATGGTAGAGGATGCAAAAACTGTAGAGAGGATGCACAGAATGCAAACGCTCTCTTCCTCATGGTAGAGGATGCAAAAACTGTAGAGAGGATGCACAGAATGCAAACCCTCTCTTCCTCATGGTAGAGGATGCAAAAACTGTAGAGAGGATGCGCAGAATGCAAACGCTCTCTTCCTTATGGTAGAGGATGCAACAACCGTAGAGAGGATGCACAGAATGCAAACGCTCTCTTCCTCATGGTAGAAGATGCAAAAACCGCTCAAAACAGAGACCGAATGTCCGGAGCAGAAGGCATGTCCACATATCCATGGTGCTTCGCTCATCTCCATTCCATCATCACTCTTCACCCCAAACTGTTAGATTCTCAAAAGTCGGGCCAGACCCCAGACTAATGAGGAAATTGCCCAAGACCCGGTCCAAGGTGCCAAGCCAGACCTCAGGCCCCTGGATCACAGAGCCAAATGGAAATGATGTTGTGGTAGGTAAAATAAATGAAATAAGCTCTGAGATCACCAGGGCTTGTGCAATCGTGGGTATTCTTGTTAGAGTTTTACTGTTCCATTAAGGGCCACACCCACCTAGCCAAATAAATGCTTGCTCTCCCCGCAAGGTCTCGAGCAGGGCCCCTTCCGGATCTGGTTTCTTGCAAGTATGAAACTTAACCCATGGCTTGGGGCTGATCATCGTAAAGAGTAGCGTGGCCACATCACCAGAGCTGATTAGCCGTCAACCGTAGGGCTGTGAGCAAAAAAGACTCATGGTACTCCAGGCAGGTCAGGAGTCCACGCCTCCCCGTCGCGGGCTTATAACACCCAGTCAGGGTTACTAGGATCAGGACCCACCTCAAGGTGCTCACCTTCCCCGAACGGCTTAACCTTTCAAAACCTCAAACATCCTATTGAGAAGTGGTCCTCCTGAGTGTACACACCTTCAACTTCACGATGAAACGATTCGCACACACCACGGCGTAAAATAAAAGATCGTTGTCACAGCCACCCCGGCTACAGATATCGGCTGGGGGCACCTCCCCTGCCTCCGCCGTCCGCGCGGGGGGCAGATTTCCTCATGAATCTTATTCAGCCACCGTAAATCAGACTCTGTAATAGTCAATGAATCGAAACGAACAAAGTTCAGAGTGAGAACCACAGTCTCAATTGAACAAAACCATTTGGCCGTAATCACAATCTCGTTCAGGCACTCTCGCTGTGCCTAACTCACCTAACCCTCAAAGTTCAACTTAAAACCCCACTAACAGTTAAAAGGCAAAACACACACAAAACCCCAACCGTACAACCCCACGAAGTTCAGGGGAAAAGAAACCAGGCATCTTCTAGAGGTAGGTAAGGGGAAAAAAGTTGTGGATTCCCGCTCACCCGTGTCCTGGCTGCGAAGTGGGAGAACCTCTAGAAGTTCAAATAAAACCAAGATTCCACCATCACCAGGTTGAGGCCCTTTTCCCCACGAAGTGCTCCGGGAACTTTTTTCTTCCTCCGCGGTCACGCTCAGACGCTTCGGCCCGTGCGTACTGGCCTGTATTAGAGCCAGTTGGCTCCACGGCCATTTCAAACGGCGGGGTCTTCTCAAGCTGAATGTGGACCAAGGCTTCATAGGAACCAATGCCGGCTGCGCAGCCCTGGTCGAAAGGTGCCTCCTCCATCTCTGCCCGGGAGCCCGGTTCCGTACTCCCTCATAAGGCAAATCCTCTGTTCGATCACCTTCCTTTTTCACCGGCCCAGGGCATAAACGCCCCGTCTCCTCAACCTCATCAGGGCTCTGATCCCCCGGATCTCATCCTCTCCGATTCATCCTCCAAATTCTCGACGACTCTGCGCCAAGAAATTCCCAAAAAACCTTGTCGTCCCTGTGAAAGCGCTGAGCCTTCCCAACGACGATCTCTTTGCGCTGAAGCCTCAGGTCTATGCAGGCGGCCACCGCCCTCAAGGCATAGCCAACATCCCCTGACGCCCCTTTTTTCCCCTAAGGGGAGCCTGTTGAAGGCAGACTCACCGAGTGGTTCAGGGCTGAAACTCCCCGCACCCGGCCGTCTCTCCTCACTCATCCTCTCGCGTCGGCTTTCTCTCTGACTTGTGTTTTGGGACCTCATCTGGCAATTGCCTTTGGTTCGGCTGCATTTGGCCACAGGGAGGTCCCCTGCTTTCCCTATGGCCTTTGGGGCCATTGCTACCTGCGCTGGTTTTTCCTCCACTTCCAGAAGTCCACCCCGCGCTGGACGTGAGCATATCCCTTCCATCTCTTGGCCCTTGTGTCAGGGTACCTACCCCGATTGTAGTCCCCGTAGTCGTAGTAATGCCTGTCCTCGTAGCAATGCCTGTCTTCGTAGTCCCTTCTCTCCGGAGGTTCTCCCCCAGGCTCTGAAGGTCTCTGGCTCCTGGCTGGTATTGGTCCGTGATGTCGGCCTGCGGACCCTCTAATGGGGATCGGTTCGAGCCCAAACTTATCCGGGTTGTCTCCGACTTCCCGGTCCGGCTTTTCCTGCCTCTTTTCTCCTCCCTCTGGTGCTCTATCACGATCTTGTTCTCGGGAACGTGACCTCGATCCTCTATCTTCTCCGTGTGGCGTCCTACTGCCTCTTGATTCCAGGGCTTCACCCCGCTTTGATTCCTCCTCTTTCCTGTCCTCCCCGCGTTCAGGGCTCTCTCTCTGGCCCAACTGGCTCTTTGTCTTTTTCTTCTTCTTCTCTGACTTCTCTCCTCTGCGGCGATTCTTCTTTTCTTTTTTCGGGACTTTAGCTTTCTTATCGGTGTTGTCCTCAGTCTTTTCAGTCTTTGGTACCTCTTGCTCAGCCTCTTTTGGTTCTTTCTTTGACTCTTTCTTTGCCTCTTTCTTTGCTCCTTCTTTCAAAGGGGACGCCCCCAACTCGGCCTCTTCACTCCCGTCCGGAGAGCTGCGGCCGAAAGGCCCACTCTCGCCGGTCTCCACCAAGTCGCTCAAGGCCCCGGCCGCGTTCCGGAGGATCGCAAGCACAGCGGTCTCCTGGAAACCGCTCAGGCGACCTCCACGAAGTAGCTTGCCTACCCTGAAGTAGGTTTTGCAGCAAGAGCAAGTAGGGGCCCCGGAGAACGTGCGACAGTTGGGGCAGTCCCCCATTCACTTGAACCGGAAACACTAAGGAACACAACCACTCATCTGCATCTTAAACCCCGGGGACGGGACTCTATTGACAATTTGATGATTATTGTATGCACATATATCACATATACATACATATCAAAGATGTACACCTTAATAAATCATCTTGTACCAAAGAGACCAGAGCACTCAATGTTAGGTCATCACGGCAAATCGTAAGTTACGCGATGATTGATGATTGGGAGACAAATGATAAGATTGTCGGCTATGCAGTGGACAGTTTGTCAAACTTGAAGAGTGCGCTGAAGACGGTTCATCCAATCGCTTCAGCTCGTATGATAGTATGGCAAATGTGCAGTTTCATACATATGTATGTATGTATGTATGTATGTGTATATATATATGCACATACATTTATACACTTGCAAACACTCTGTCTTCTCAACTAACATGTTGCTTCAAAAAAGGCCGAATTGAATGCTTCTGGAAAACGGCCCCTACGAAAGCTATGTCAATGCCAAAGAAGAGAGGAAGCTATTGAATGCAAATCAGCTTCAGCAGAGCTTCTCGATAAGAAGCTCGCTCTAAAGGTGTTGCTTCAGATACAAACGACGCGGCTGCATCTGCATTTAAGCTTGTCATGGCCACTCTGGCAGAAAAGAGAACGTTCTGATTAGACGAAGACTGAGAGAAAGTGAAAGTGACTGGTACCTATGCTAGACGCCTTGTTCGCATGTGCATCGTGTGCTGGACATCTGGCCCAAACCAAGGCCATTGAGCACATCAGAACCACGCTGAAACAGGAATGAAAGGAATGCGCTGAAGGCAAATAAATGATGGTACAGAGAAGTTGAAGAATCCATTGCAATTTGACAGCACTCCAGGCAATAAACAGAAATTATACAATTAAAGAGACTGAGAAGATCCAAGAGGCATATCACCTACACAGAGCCAAGGCAAAGCCCTCAGAGTCATGCTCAGGGGAAACATGCAACAATCGCGAATTTCCTCATTTTTCATCTTAATGGGACAAATGAGAAAGGAAGGTGAGGAAGCATCGTTGCTTCGATAGGAAATCAGGTGTTGAAGTCAAGATCATTCGGACAATAAAAAAAATAGCATGAAGGGGTCTCATGCTCGATCGCACCTTTCAGAAGGTTTTAGAGATTTGCGAAAGATACGGAAGTGAAACATCGCAAGCATCCCATCCCACAAAAGATATACATAATGTTCTCCGCTTGCTTTAGCTATCTTTAGCTCATGTTCCCTCTGCATTTCCAATGAGTGTTCGGGTGTCCAAACGCACCTCCCAAGCGTGCGGAAAAGACCGGCGCAAAAGTCAGCCTTGGCATCACTCTCGACATTTCTCGAGTGTGTTGATGATAAGAAGTCTGTGCAGCGAAATGAATGGAAGCTCCACTTCTGCTCTGGCGATTCAACTCATAGCTCTGCCTTGTCTCTCTTTGGAAAACTTCTCTGTGTGAAGCCCCAGGGAATTTGTGTGTCTGCGCTGAGCATCTCCCAGCCCTGCCAATAGTGCTGCCACGAAGGAGTCGCCCATGTGCAAAAAAAGCTGTGAAGCGAATGGGACACCCAAGTCTCCTCAGGCCAAAGTGTGTCAATTTCTTGGAATCTCGATGGCTTCATGAAAATCCACCATTCGTTCACATGCAGCGAAGAAAAATCTGCCAAATATCAAACATCCCAGATACAGTTGAGACATCTGCGCCATGAATTCACTGCCAGATAATAAAGCTACAGCAAAACAAGAGTTTCCACGCCAGTTTTCTAGGTTACATAGTTGTAACATGTTGTAACCAGGGCAACCACAGAGTGTCCAGGCAGCTACGCAGCAACCAACCAGCGAAACTACCCATCAAACAATAAAGGGGGTTGCAATTGACCAATACGAATGACCAACGTCAACATACCATACCGCCACTAGAGTGCCCAGGTTCATGGAACAAAACCATACCACTATTAGGGGTTCTATTTGGGTGGGGGGAAAAGGATTATTCGCGCACAGGCAAAGGGTCACAAATTCCAACGTGAACCTACAATTGCAAAGTCGGGCGCATGGCATCTGTTTCCATCCGAAAGAGGTGGTATCGCATCGCAAAAGCCATACAGACTCAGTGAAACGGTTTCCCTGAAACAAAACCCAGTTCACTCCCTCGGTCCTGCGCAAAAACCTACAACAGCTGCCAAAGGCTCTCAAGGCTTTATCAAGGTGTCTTGAAATCCGACCAAGTATCGAAAGAGCAGAGAAACAACATGTGTTCCCAAAGCTGAAAAGATCTGCACACCTCAGAAGGCATACTGATGTTTGAGCAAAGAGACAGGCACCAAAACTTAACATCTCTTGAATTTGCAGAGTCTCTTATTACGTCTGCTCTTGTCTTGTGGCAAAAGGAGTGCTGCACTTGAATGTTTGCAGCATCGAAATTTGGTCATGCAAAACCTGTCAGGATGACGGATGATCACGGATGTCTAAAGTCTAAAGACATCGTAAGTTCACCCGTGTCAAGACGCAACAAATCTGGCTACATGAAGGTGCGGGTCGGTCTGAAAGGATGGGGTATGCGGTATGTCAATCAAGAATGCCAGTAATGTTATGGTAATTGCCGCATGGGCCACAACACAGGACAAGACAATGACACAGTCAAAACCAAATTCATGGGTAAACTGTCGAGGCCACAGTAGACAGAAGGTTTCAAAGACTTGGACAGAAGATTGCGTAAAGCGGACAGGAACCCAAGCCGAGACCACAAGGCACAGGATGCGAACAAAATTACTAAGGCAACGAGCAGCGGCATGCGACCTTCTTCCGAATGCTGGTAGCTGCTGGTATGGAAATCACCCCGTTGTATGAGCCGATCTGATTTAAGAGACGGCTTAGGCAAGAATATCAAGCCTGTTTACACCATGGGTTTGGAAGATCTCTGGAAATCGAATCACAGTTCATGCCAATGCAAGGTCAGAGCTGAGGCAGCAACAGAAATGGGCCTGCAGCATCAGGAGCAGCTCTGCTGTGAATCGAAATCCAAACCGTTGGAAGAGCTCAACCAGGAAGTGGTAGTCAGCGCCCAGCTTGTTGTAGACTTCTTTACACATCTCCTGGACAATATCAGATTTCAGCAAGAACAGCTGCACAAACAAATCAGACATCTGACGACTGTGGTGACTATAGATACCATGGCAATTCATGGCAAATCGTTGCGACCCAGCGTGTCATCCTCCCCCATCTGTTGGTGCATTCGGCTAGTCCAGGACGCGCCCAGCAAGCAGAAGACTTGACAGTGCTGTGCTCCCATGGCCTCATGAACTTCGGATGAACTTCGGATGAACTTCGGATGAACTTCGGATGAACTTCGGATGAACTTCGGATGAACTTCGGATGAACTTCGGATGAACTTCGGATGAACTTCGGGCACAGCAGACAAATCTGACTAACGCCTTTGACAACCTTTGCACTTGCCTGTGATGTTGCAACAAAAAATGTCCCAGCCTTGAAAAACTTTGCTACGTAAGTTGGGCCCAAGAAAACAAACACTTCCGCCAAGAAGTCTTCGCCCAGCTCTCCAAAAAGAATTGCATCAAAGTCCTGCACACATCGCTTTCAGACAAGACATGACAAGACCCACATGTGCAAACAAGGTTCCAGGCTTGGGACAGTGTGTCATAGCGGGGAGACACGCTCTTAACCCCGAAGCAGATTCAGGAACTTAACCCCGAAGTTTTTTTTTGTTAGCTACGAATTGTGGTCAGTTTAACTCCGAAGCAATATGTTTTTTTAACCACGAAATACGATACAATATACATTTGAAATTATTTTAAAAAGTCAATGTAATGTGCCATTCACTCTCCGGCCAAGTCTCTGTCTATTGTATTTAGCATTGTATTGACACTTCTCTATGGAGACTTTTCCTCTTTACGGGGATTCTTCTCTGTGGAGATCGGAGACTTTTCCTCTTTTCAATGTGCATTGAGAGGCGGCTGTTCAGGGAAGACATGGCACGTAGGTAGAAGAGGCCTCTCCCACAAATGAAGACCGTTTATATAAGACTCTTCTTATATATACAGTAATACTCTTAAAGACCTTGTGGAAGGATCTGCTGTTTATGCTCTTTCCCCTTATCCCTCTGTGGCGGAGAAAAAAGAGATTGTGTCTTGCAGGCAGTAGCAGTTTCGGGCAAAAGATGTCCGGCAGTCTTTTCAATCCGGAGCTGATGGGCAATCGGGATGAAAAGGAGGAACTCATTGATACAGAGCCATAAGAGCAAAAGGCAGCCAAACCACTCACTGAAATCACTCAAAGAACTCTTCAAACTTCGCAGTGGGCCTTCCTTGTGGCAGTAGAAAGCCAGAGTTATCTGACTAGCATGGTAAGGACAAGGTGAAGGTGGAAAGATGGTCCATGTTGCTCCCAAGTTGTCCTGCTTCAGCACTCAAGTCACAAGGTTGACGTAAAGCCAAAAGAGTGGGTGAGTGTGGCAAACAGCTGCGGCAGAGAATGGCAGAGAATGGCAGACAGTGGCAGAAAATGGCTTCAGGGGGGTTGTGGCTGGGTGATGTTTACATGGAGATTGGATGTGGCGCACACACGGCTCAGCAGTTTCGAGACATCTGAAGAGCGAGATAGAACATTACCAGAGATTTCTCCCTCCACTGGTGAATTGAGTTCTCAGATGGCACAAGAGTTCTTATAGGAAGGGATTTTGATTCCGGAAAAATGATGGGAAACAGACGGGAAAAATTGGGAAGATGTGGAAAGAGATAAGAACTGACTCGAATATCTTTTGGAACATCGCACTGTTCTCAGTAGCGTTCTTCCTCGGGCAACGCAGGAAGCCAAACAGTATCTCATGGGGAAAAAACACAGATTGTGCTGTCAACAATTCCCTGTAAAGTTCTATCATCTCTACTATGTAGAATATAGTGTATATATAATGTGTATATATATAGTGTATATACATATGCGTCGTATATCCTGTTTGTATTTTGTGCATATCGTCAAATGACGTCATTTTGTTTGTCTGTCGTGCGTCGCACGACCCCACCTCTCCGAGGTCTCCAAGCAGCTGTCCACAGAATCTTGGCCCCAAACAGTCAAAGAGCTCCTGGAGGCAAAAAAAACTTCTTTGGTGACAAAATTCACCAGGTGACATAGGTTGTTTCCAAAATGTGGTGTATGTGGTATATGGTATTGTTGTGTATGGCAACATTCTGCAGGTGTATTGCATAATATACGTGTAAATGTAAATATGAATAGATATGGAACATGTTGCACTTTGCCCACTCTCTTCTACGCTGGCCCAGCAACCGCTAAGTCAGAATACTAGATGTCTGCGACTCTGTTTGAAGAAGCTTCTCCCTCTTGGGATCCGCACCTTAACAAAGTTCACTCCAAGTCCTTTTCAGCAAAGCCAGATCGGCGTCCCAACACAGGGCCAATCACAATTTCGAAACATCGTGAATTCAGAGCTTACAACTTTAATTACAATACGACAATGTGTGTCTTGCTCTAGGTGAAGAACTTCCTGTACACTATCTGAAAACTGCCCTTTTGAAGCCTTCCCCTGCCTTTGTAGAGACTCGCAGTAAAGTGAGCACCAAAAGCGGAATGCACTTCTGCTGTAAAATCGCATCCCGCAGTTCCAAAGAGGCGAGCAGTGAAAACAGAACCCAGAGCGCCATACAACTGCACGCCTAGGTCTGTTGCTCAAGAACTGTCTCTGATGATGTTTGCCGAGTTTCCAATTCTGATATTTTTTTAGATTGGTTTGAGCATGAGATCTAGGTTTTAAATCTCTACTGGGCGTTTGTCAGCTCCTTCCATATACCCGAAACCACAAACACTCCATACAACCGGCAGATCCAGGGAACAAAGGCGGAAACTTTTCCGTTCGGTTTGTTTGAAGGAGTTTCCTCACCGCACTTCCTGTCCATCTATTTTCTTCTCTGAGGCAAGAAGAGTTGGTTCGCTGCTTTGTTGCACACAAATTGAAAGGAAAAGAGCCCCTGAGTGCATCCTCGCACTGGGAGCTAGCCAAGACGCAGAAGGTGAATCCCATAATGCAATGCGCCTCCGCTGTCCACGCAGAGCCCAGCTGATCAAAAAGCCGCGCACAGTAGTGGTATGTGAGACCTTTGAAAAGGCGTTCAACGTAGCAAGCCCCCAAGTTCTTGAAGAAATCCTGCCAAGCTAAGTTTTTCAACAGACTCGGTGTCTCAAGACATGCCTCTTGTTTTTGTCCGCGGTAGATTCACAATTACGCGCACGTGCCAATCGTCAACCAGTTTCTTCTTGCTGTTTGCAAATTCACCAATCAGTGTGAAGAAAGCATGCACTTTCAATCAAACTATATTGTTCGCCTCAATTATATGCATACAGGAGTAACCAGTTTGCAGATTGTTCAACGATGTTCAACGTAGATCTCCCAGCAGAGATAGATGCATGATGCTAGCACTTAATAATCAATGACTGACTTATCGGTGTGAATCGATATGAATCGATGTGTGGGACATGACACGAGCAGATCCAGTAGTGGGGCTTGTGAAGTGCAACACAGTGTATGGCTAGGGTGCGGAACATGCTTCCCAAACATGCGGAGCCCAGTTTCCACTCTGCAAACCGAAACAAAACCAAAGGCACTACTGAATGCGTCCGGTAGCTACTGAAAGGGAGTTCAAACACAAGAGTCCAAGTCCAAGTCAAATGATTTGGAAGGATGAGATTTAAGAGTAATTATAGTAGATCATTGTGCATTTGCGAAGACACTTGTTGACTGTCCCTTGTTGAGAAAGGTCTAGAAAGTGATCTTTGCCAACATAGTTGGGTTGGCCCTCATGCGCATCATTCCAAAGATGAGGTGCCTCTTTCTGTGGATATACATCACTCATGATACGCCATAGCTGTGAATCAAGTGTTGAAGCTAAACTCTGAAAGAAGCTTGAAGCTTCTTGGAATCATTGTCTAACAAGAAATCAAGCGCTTTGAACAAACCTGATACAGAACTACAGACAGTAGCTACAAATGACCTCATGCCAGTTCTTTGAATATCTCCAAGAATCAAGGCCTCAAAAAAACATCCTTTTGAGTCCCATAAATTTCCTACTTACAGATAGCGAGTGGAGCTTACCACATGTCTCTAACATGTCCCGTGTCTTTTCCCGTGTTGTGTTTCATGTGCTGTTGAGGCATGTTGAACCCGTTGTGGCCCGTCGTGTGAAAGCTTCAGAAGAGTTGTGACTCATTTGACCCGCTCCGCTGCAAAGCTTGTGCCCAGCTCTCGGAAAAGGCTCGCCACGAAGTCCGTGCCCAAGCCACGCAACAAGTCAGCAATGAAACCCGGGCCACAGTGCTCGAAAAGGTCGGTCAAGAATTGACCTTGCCTTGGAAACAGGAAAAGAAATGAAAAAGAAATGAAAAAATTGAAAAAGAACATAGTGGACCCTCCAACTTCTGTGCATTCAGTTCTTCACTTCACTATATCATGGCATCAATTGAAGCCCCTCCAACTCGCAGTGTGAACACCTTCAAAGAACTTAGCTAATCGCACATGGATCTGCAAGTCTCTAGCCCTACATCCGTGTCAGCATTGTACAAAGGTACACTTCAACGCAGCTGGGAAGCAGCGCACGGCTTAAGAGTATATAGCTTCACCAATTGCACTCTTCAAACGCAGGGATGAACGAATGTCAGTCAACATCAACATCACTCACTCAAATCAATCCCTGGATTGCCCCAAAGCAAGAGATGACGGGCGCAAGAAATGTATATAGACTCTGACCGTCGAACAAGTGATGAGTCCATGAGAACAGCAACAAGAAATATGGCCACAGTATTTGTGGGGTGTGGGGATCCAGTATCAAATAGACAGCACCACTAGAACACAAAGTCTGAAGTAGTATGGTTGTCTGGGAGAGGACAAGACCACAATAGAAGGTTTTTTTATAATGCACTGTGACGTTGTCAAACAATGGCAAAGTCCATATCTAGAACTCCGAAAGATCTGGATGGTTGTCGCTTCCAAGCAATCCAGCACAAGGTTTCTAGCTACTCATGTCGTCACGAGGTTTTGACCAAAGAAAACAAGGGCCTACGCAAAACCCAAACAAAAACCAAACCACCTTCATAGAGCAATGATACAAGTCCCAAACACTTTCAAAACCGATCGGGTGCTTAAAGTTGAATAAGAATGTATCAGATCTGCATCTCAAACCCTGAAAACTAGTTGCATGGAGTTTTGAATGCCCGCCAACCTCCCGGAACGTTTATGTGGAGTCTCTTCCTGCAACAGCCTTTGACAAACTTGGAACAGCCCAGAACTTTCCAGTGCCTCTCACAGTGTGAAAAGAATGGTGTTGGCATAGAGCAGTTCTAGAGATTCAAATACGAGGCCAAACAGCAGGGACATTCAAGGGCCAAAAAGTATAGATCATCAAGGTAAAGTTTTGGTGGGCCAAAAAGTATAGATCATCAAGGTAAAGTTTTGGTTGGTGACTTCGCTGATTTAGTCAGTGGTCCATTAATTGCCTGGTCTGGTCTTGCGCAGTTCATTTGCAGTAAGTCTTCCACCAAGTCGCAGTTTCTCGAAGAGTTCAGCCACCCAGAATTCAGATGCGCCAAAGAGTTCCACACAAAAGTCGATGCCGAGTTCTTGAAACAATGCTCCACATTTTTCAGCACCAACCTGATCAAACTATGAAACGAATGAAACCCATGCCCTGCAAACCACTGCAGGTTCTAGAGAGTAATGAGGCAAATTCAGGTTTCCGCATTCCAAGCCGACACACAAGAGGAAGTGTCGAAGTTTCTGAAATTGCACAAATGGACGGATGTTGAAACGCCTCTTCAAAAGTGTCACCAACGAAGTCAACGCCTAGCTTTTGGAGCAAGAGAGCAGCACCTCGTATCAAGTTTCCGGCACATGGAAAACTGAAAACAAATATCTGCATGATTTTTCAGTTTAGGCTGACTTTCAACGCCAAATCACATAGCAAAAAAATAATCAGCAGTTTCACCTTAGTTCCACAAATCCGTCCATTGCTGGAGAATTGTTGTGATGTACTGCCAAGTTTTTTTCATGACGCGATAGATGTAAGCGTTCGATGCTAAAAAAACTGGATGTCATTTTTTTCCCAAACGATATGCAGTTCGAAGGGTGAACTGCACGTCAGCAACAATAGTTGATGGATATCACATGTCTACACATGAATTTGAAAATCGGTTTGAAAAGGCATTGATTAGATTTGCAAGGCACTGGAAGGCCCCAGTTGCTGCAATGCAAAAGCTGAGACAATTTGAGGCAACACAAGCGTCCCGGCAGCAGCTGTTTTTGCAGCGCATGCCTCGACTGAGCGAAAAGTCACGGGGTACAAATTGATCGTTTGAAATTAATAATATATAATCACGTGGGAAATTCAAATGTGTATAGTGTATTGTGAAGAACCAGTGCCATCATCTTAGTTTGAACTCTGTTGCCACACACACATTTTGTGACAAAATCCGTGGGCATTCCGAAAATCTAAACTGTTCGATTGCAAATTTGCCTGCAAAACTGGAACAGCGATGCCTGTGATGTGAATGACAAAAACCACCGCATTATAAGGTTGCACAGCAAACCAAAAAAATGTGTCTGAAGAACAATTTCCCACATGACTGACGAGAATGCTGAACCAAAATAAGAGTTGCAATTAACACGGCATGGGGCCCGTCATCCCTTCTCGGGGTTGAAACCCAAGAATTGTAACTAGAACTGTTTTTTGGAATCACCGCGATGCAATGCAAAAATCATCAAAAAACAAAATAATCAAGAGAATCAAGAGTGAATTATGGCGCACGTTTTTATGTTGTTCAAATTTGAAAACAAGTGTCGTGCACTTTGCAATTGGTTCCAAGATTTCATTGCCCGATGGAAATTGAAATTTCAGCGCACAACCCAAAAACAAACGATGACGGTATTTTCCGTTCCATTTTCAATCCCAACAAAGTTCAAACCAATCCGCATTGGTAGCGCCATGGACAGCTGCCACTGCTTCACGACCGCAACAACATTCCAGCATCGGCAAACAGACTGAAGCACCAATGTCGGCAACATCAAATATGTCAGATTGGAAATAAAGAAATTTCGACAGGGCGGGCCTCATGTCCAAAACCAATGGAATTTTATTTTCCAACTTCTCAAACGACTCCAGCAAACCATTCATTTCAATTTTTTCATAACCACTGCAAAACGGTTGCCGGTTCACTTGGTACGTGATGTGCTGTCACAAAAAAAAAATGATATGTGTTTTGAACCTGGCCTGTGCTGAGCACAATCCAAAGTGCGTCACATCAGACAGGTGGAAAAAAAACAATCAAAATCGAACCCTCACTCACATCTGTAAGCAAAAAAATACAAACAAATCGCACGACGACACAACGTTGTTCTTTGATTGTGACAGTCAATGCCCCGTCTTCATGGCACACCAATTAATGATCAGAAAACCACTTGCAATTTCGTCATCCAATGACAGCACATGACGCGCCTTGAAACTTCAACACCGTTATGGAATCAAACCAAATAATGTTTACGAACCAAACCGACCATTTTGGGGAACCGGGTAAATAGAGCATGACCCACACTTTGCCGTGGTGTTTTATGTTTCCTCATCCTTGTGGGAATTCGCTTGCTCACATAGACACCTCGTTTTCTAGACAAGAAACGGCAGCCCACCTATAACTATAACGAGTGAAATGGCACATCTAAAGAATCCTTACCTAGGATGCCTGGGAGTCTGACACCCTCAAAAAAATCACTACCCAGGCAACCAAGTACGGACAAAACACAAAAAAAAACAAATAACTAAATTACAAATATAAAAACAGATCTCGAAAGAATCAGCAGGTCTGTGTTAGCCATGTGTTACCCTCCCTAAAACACCAAACGTTTGATTCGTTGTTTTGCACACCGCAGTTGCCAGTTTTTGTTTTTTTTTCACCTCTGCCAGATTCGCAGTTTCTGTGTTCGCCAACGGCAGTTTTAGCAAATTTCGACCATTCCAAATCCATATCAACTGGTCCTCAACATGCCCTATCAAAAAAAATTACACCGGCAAAGGGCCCCAAACAGTGTTGAAGGGTAGGAAGTCAATGAACCACATACAAGCAATAGTAGTTATGGAACAGTACCAGATGAAGTTAAACATGATGGGAACTGCAGCAGCAGGACCTGCTACATAGATCTATACAGGGGAACTCACAAGATCATCACACTAGTAGTACCGCACAAGGGGGTGGCTGAAATATCAAAGATAGGAAACCTATAGGAGAGGTTGGTTGTTGTGAATCGTGGATGGCAGAGCGAACCCACTGATGAATCGAAACGTGGTTGGAAGGTCGGGCTATCTATCTAACTATCTGTCTACCTATCTATCTACCTATTTATCTATCTACCTGTCTATTTGTGTATCTGTCTATCTGTCCATCTGTCTATCTATCTGTCTGTCTATCTGTCTGTCTGTCTATCCGTCTATCTATCTGTCTGGCTATCTGTCTATCTGTCTATCTGTCTATCTACCTGTCTTTCTATGCATCTATTTATCTACCTATCTGTCTATCTGTCTATCTGTCTATCTGTCTATCTGTCTATCTATCTATCTATCTGTCTGTCTGTCTGTCTGTCTGTCTGTCTATCTGTGTCTCGGTATTGTTTA